TCCGGACGCGCAGGCTCAGCGGCCATGGCTCACGGGCCCAGCCGCTCTGCGGCATGTGGGATCTTCCCGGACCGGGGCACGAACCCGCGTCCCCTGCATCGGCAGGCGGACTCTTAACCACTGCGCCACCAGGGAAGCCCCCTTTGCCCATTTTTAAATTGGGTTATTTTTATTATTGAGTTGTAAGAGTTCTTTGTATTGTAGATACGAGTCCCTTATCAGATATAGTTTTTGCAACATTTTTCTCCCACCATGGGTTTCTTTTCATATTCTTCATGGTGTCCTTTGGAGCACAAAAGTTTCTTTCTTTTTTTGGATTATTTTTTAAAAATTGAAGTATAGTTGATTTACAATGTGTTAGTTTCTGGTGTGCAGCAAAGTGATTCATATATATATATGTATATATATGTACACACACATATATGTACATATTCTTTTTCATATTCTTTTCCATTATGGTTCATTGCAGGATATTGAATATAGTACCCTGTGCTATAGAGTAGGTCCTTATTGTTTATCTGTTTTATCTATAGTAGTTTGTATCTGCTAATCTTAAACTCCTAATTTATCCCTCCCCTCCTTTACCCTTTGGTAACCGTAAGTTTGTTTTCTAGGTCTGGAGCATAAAAGTTTTTAATATTGATGAAGTCCAAGCCGTCTTTTCTTTTGCCGTTTGTGTTTTGGTGTCATGTTTAAGAAACCATTGCCTAATCTAAGGTCACAAAGATTTACGCCTGTGTTTTCTTCTAAGAGTTTTAAGGTTTAAGCTCTTATATTTAAACCTTTGATCCATTTGGAGTTCATTTTTGTATGACCAGGGATTGAACCTGTGCCCCGTACAATGGAAGCGTGGCATCTTAACTGCTGGACCACCAGGGAAGTCCCAAGTTCATTACTGAGGTGCTCATTAGTGTTGCCTTTGGGGTTCCCTGGCCACACCCTCTGTCTTCTCAGGTTTCTGCTCTCCCTCTTTTGAGGTACACCCTGGGGTAGATGGTTGACCCACCTGTTGGGGCATCACAGCTAAAGAGGACTGTTTCTCAGAAGTAGGCAGGGGCAATTCAGCTTCTCACACACAACTGCATATCCAGCATAAGTGCCAAAATAATAAAACAGTAGCTAAAGTTCATCAAGCATTGACTATTTGCTAGTTAGATCTTTAGTCCTCACAACAACTCTTTTTATAGAAGGGAAAGCTGAAGCTCAGAGACGCTAAGTAATTTCCCCAAGGTCACACAGCTAATAAATAAGGAGCCGAGTGAGTATTCAGCCCCAGAACCTTTCTCCGAGGCCTTAGGATTAAGAGTTCCCCTGGGGGAGCCCCGTCACAGAGAAGACAAGTAGCCAGAGCCCAGTTCTGCGGGTGTTGTGGTGAATGTGGCTATGTCAGCTGCAGGAGAATGAATGATGGGGCAAGGGTGGGGGATGGTGAGGAAGGGCTCAGAGACCTGGGATCATTTTGTGAGTACTGTGTGTGTGCAGCAGTCCTGAGAGCCCACCTTTTACATGGCTGCAGTCACTATCCCCATTTCACAGATGGGATAGCAGAGCCTCTGAGTTTCAGCAGCACAGCTAGTGAGCCAGAATTTGGACACGAAGAATGCTTAACCATGATCCTCTCTCCCGTGTTTCCTAGACGTAGTCATTTGCAGTTCACCTTCATGATTTTACCATTTCTGTGTGCCATAGGTACTATTATTTACTTAATACTTCCTTTTAAATCAATCCACTTTTTTAAAAATAAAAAGCCTCATTTTAAAGTGTAATATTCTTGGGACTTCCCTGGCGGTCCAGTGGTTAGGACTCTGCGCTTCCACTGCAGGGGGTGAGGGTTCATTCCCTAGTCGGGGAACTAAGATCCTGAAAGCTGTGCGGCGTGGCCAAAAAATAATTAACTAATTAATTAAATTAAATTAAACTAAAGATCCTGTTTAAAAAAAAATGTGTAATACTCTTGGAACCTTGAGTTTGATGTTACTTAGACACACATACACACATACATCATACGTATATATTTCTAATACATACATATATGTATATGTGTGTCTGATACACATTCAAATAACTAATAACTATGAAACATCAAAAACCATTACCGGTACAGTTGACCCTTGAACACGGGTTTGAACTGCTTAGGATTTTTTCCAACAGTAAATAGTACAGGACTACACGCTCCGTGGCTGGTTGAATCTGCAGCTGCAGAAACGCAGATACGGAGGGACCCCACAAAGGGAGGGCTGACTAAATTACAGGTGGATTTTCCAAAGCACGGGGGAAGGGTTGAGGCCCCTAACCCCCTGAGGTTCAAGGGTCATCTGTACCTCTAAACCCATTTTGAGTGCGCACATGCTGTGCGTACCACACTTTGAGAAACGCTATTTTCTCCCGCTTCTAAGCCCACCTCTATCACTAACTTACTGCGTATGTTTTCCCTGTTGCACCCCATGCTTCACCTGTCTATAAAATGGGAGAGGTTAGATGTCAGAGACCTCTCCTGTTGTAATGGACATGGACAGAGGTCTTTGCATGCTGGCTTGGCTTCCCTCTTGGTTCAGAAGTCTGGCTTCATCTATAAAAAGGTACAAATGAACTTATTTACAAAACAGAAATAGAGTCACAGATGTAGAAAACAAATTTATGGTTACCAAGGGGGAAAGGGAGGGGGAGGGATAAATCGGGAAATTTATACACATATACACACATATACACACTACTATATATAAAATAGACAACTAATAAGGACTGATGTGACATTGTAAATCAACTATACTCCAATAAAAAAATTTTTTTTAATGCAAAAGAAAACAGAAGTAGCAAGAGCTATTGATTAACTTTCTTTCAATTTAGGGGGAGAAAAGGAAATAGACTCTAAAAAAATAAACAAGGGAAGAAATATGAAAAAGTAAATACAATAAAAGTAATTAAAAACCGTTGTAATAATTTTTCATAACATATTTAATCCAACATATCAAAACATTATTATTTCAACATAATATTAAAAACATGATTAATATTAAAAAATAAAATAGGTAACTAATAAGGACCTACTGTGTAGCACAGGGAACTCTACTCAATACTCTGTAATGACCTATATGGGAAAAGAATCTAAAAAACAGTGGATATATGTATATGTATAACTGATTCACTTTGCTGTACAGCAAAAACTAACCCAACATTGTAAATCAACTATACTCCAATAAAAATTAATAAAAAATAAAAAGTACAGGGCTTCCCTGGTGGCGCAGTGGTTGAGAGTCCGCCTGCCGATGCAGGGGACACGGGTTCATGCCCTAGTCCGGGAAGATCCCACATGCCGCGGAGCGGCTGGGACCGTGAGCCATGGCCGCTGAGCCTGCGCATCCGGAGCCTGTGCTCCGCAACGGGAGAGGCCACAACAGTGAAAGGCCCACGTACTGCAAAAAAAAAAAGAAATAAAATAGAAAGTACATTGCAAAAAAAAAAGAAGTCTGGCTTTATCCAACCACTCAGAGTCATCAGGCCTTAGGAACTAGCTCTTATTAGTCAAACTCACAAGAGGCTGATCAATTTAAACCAGAGAAGTGAATACATTAATTGACCTTGGGTTATTCGGCAAGGTCAGGCTGGAGTTCTCCACCAATAGAAGAACACATTTCCTCGCCAGCACTAGCGCAGGCTTTGGAAACTTACTAAGCTGCCCTGTTCAGGATAGAGGGGCCCATTGGGGGAACGGGGAAGTGTTGGCTTTGGAGAGGGTCTTGAGTGTGAATCTAGGCCTGCCTGTAAGAAGTTGTGTAACTGTGACGTACCTTGCTTCCTGGAGCTTCATCGTCTATAAAATGGGGATCATTACACTCACTTCGTAGGTTGTGAAGATTAAATGATATACTATATGGAAAAGCGTGGCACAAAGTAGCTATTAATTAGTTGAGGGCTAGTGAGGGAAAGTGTCATTTGATTGTGAAAGACTGAGGAGCAGGGACCGTGTCTAATTCAGGGGCTGCAAACTCAGATGCCAACAGGGGCCGGGCAGTTAATAACAATTGGGTGGTAATGTCCAATATGAGAATACAGTCAGTAATAGTACATCTGGTGGGTAACTAGACTTACTGTCGTGATCATTTTGTAATGTATACAAACATCAAATTACTATGTTGTACACATGAAACTAATATATTGCGTGTCAAATATACTTCAATAGAAAACCTAATAATAATAGGGCCAATCAGGGCAGATAGAAGATGGCAGACGTCTGAGAGCTCATGAAGAGGTGAGGACGTGGGTGACTTAGAGAGGGCAAGCCCTGGTGGAAAGGACTGGTCTCTCCTCGGCTCCAGCGATGGCCAGATCTTCTGACTTACTAAAGAGAAGCCAGACTTCCAGATTTTTAGGTGATAACTCCTGATTTTAAACTGGCACCCAATTAAAATTTGCAAGCCAAGCAAAATATGGGTGGGGTTCATTGCTGGTCACCTGTTTGTAGCCTCTGGTCTAAATTAGCATTGCGCTTCTTCCTGCTTTACCCACTGTCCCGACACAGTGCCTGTCGTACAGTAGATGTCGCTTAAGTGTATGTAGATTGAATGAACAGGTGCAGACAAACCTGGTGGAGAAATGAACAGTGACGATGAAGATCACTAAATTGGGGGGGGCTAGCCTGAACCCCAGAGACTGTGTGCTTTAAACCCCTAACCCCTGAGCATCCCATTGCCCAAGGGGCTTTCTCCTCTGGTTGGCCAGCACTCATGCTTTGAAAAGAATTCATTCTCTTCTTCCTTATGTCAGCTTTCTGCCGTCTGCATGCCCTTTGGATACCTGAAGTCAGGGGTCGCTGTCACCACGGAGGGCAGATACTTCCCCTTCCCAGCATTCAGCACTATCACATCTTCCTGTTTTGTTCTCTTCATAGCACCTGTGACTCTTTATATCTGTGTCCATTTGTTTCCTTGTTTATTATCTAATACAAGCCCCAGGAGAGCTGAGAGCTTCCTGTCTTACTCACCGTGAGTTCCCCGGCACCTAGAGAAGAGGCTCGCCACACCGTGGCTCCCCCAGGGGGCCATCATCTACCCCTTCATCAGCTGTTTCAGGACACCCTCTCTGGGCCAGGACCCTTCTCCAACTGAATCTCCTAAGGAGCCTGGGTTAGGCATTCTCTGCTCCGTTTTACAGGCAAGGGGCCTGAACCTCAAAGAGAGGAAGTTACTTGTCCAAGGTTGCACAGCTAGTAGGGATGGTGGTGGGAATTCAGACCCTGGTCTGTCCACCTTCCAGGTGCACCCTGACTTTGCCCTTGGCAGTGATGCCTAAGTAACAAGTAGGAGGCAGGGGAGCCGCCACCTCGTGACTCACCGAGCATGGGGTGAAATGAAACCCGCCTCCTTCCCACGCCGCCAGCCTTTTTCATTAACTTGACACAACTCCAAGTTGGCCTTTCACCTGGAGGACGCGTCTTCTCGGAGGGGGACTTGCAGAGGAGCACCGGAGGGCAGTGCCGTGGTCCTAATTCTGCGCCTCAGTTTCATTACCTGGAGAGTGGGGACACTTTATTAGCTGACTCCTGGGGCTGTCGTGAGTTAATACAGTGACCGCTGAGAACGTGCCTAGAACACAGTTAAATGCTCAACAAACAGTAGCTCTTATTTTATCAGAACGTCATGTATGGGGAAGCGTCCTCTAAGTTTTAAGGGAATTCTTGTTACATCATTTGAGCATCACCCACTGATGTTGTCCTGGATTCGAGGGTGCTTCCTATTGGATCCTATTGGAGATCCTCAACCCCTTAAGCTTGGACACTGAGTGAATATTTCAGTTTGGTAAATACTTCGATGTCCGTGATTCCATGTGAGCTAGTTGAGGCCTCAGGTTGGGTGTATGACTCCTCCTGGGTCAGATACTGATTGCTGCCGCTTATGGAGCCCCTTCCCCACCAGAGTAGGCATAATTCCAAAGTCACCAGTTAGCAGCCAAGCAGAGGCATGCGACTTGAGTGCAGGACCCCCGATCCCAGGCCTCTGTCCTGTGCCCAGCTGCTCCCGCGGTCACGTGCTGCCTTTCCCTTCCCCTCCTCAGCTGTGAACACCACCAACACCAGCCAGGATGAGCAGCACCAGTGGCTGAGCTGTAACCAGCAGGAAGAGATGCTCAACCTGGGCTTCACCATCGGCTCCTTCGTGCTCAGCGCCACCACCCTGCCGCTGGGGATCCTCATGGACCGCTTCGGGCCCCGGCCCATGCGGCTGATTGGCAGGTGAGGTGGCTGGGCTGTGGGGAACTGGAAGGGGCTTTGGGGAGCTGCAGGGCAGGACTGGTGCGGCAGGGGGAGGGGAGGCACAGAGTGTTCAGCCCCTCCCCCTTCCCCTGCATCTCCACAGCGCCTGCTTCGCTGCATCCTGCACCCTCATGGCCCTGGCCTCTTGGGACACCAAAGGTGAGATGTCTGGCCTCTCGCGTCCCCACAGGAAAAGAATGGGTGGGATGAAGGTGGGTGTTACCCCAGCTCCTGCCTTTAGCCTCCCACAGCTCCCCAGTGCCTCATTCATCCCTCTCCGCTTCCCAGTTCTGTCTCCGTTGATATTCCTGGCCCTGTCCCTGAATGGTTTTGGTGGCATCTGCCTAACATTCTCTTCACTCACAGTGAGTATGACAGGTCCCAACTCGGCAGCAGGTCACCCAGGAGTGAGTGACGGTGAGGGTGGGAGAAGGGCCTGTGGACGCAGATCAAATGCACGTGTGTGTGTGTGTGTGTCCCAAGCCCATACATCTGTTGAACTCTGTCCTGGGGCCACAGCACAGAAAGAACTGACTTCTTCACCTTTCTGGAACTTATATTCAGGAATTGGGGGAACAGACAACCCTAAAAACAAGTAAACTAATAAATGATATCCCTAGTCGTAAGTGCTGGAAAGACTAAAACTGGGTAATGCGAAAGTAAGGGCGGTGGGCAGCTTGAGACAGTGGGCGTGTGTTTGCCACGTGTATATGTGGTGCTGTCCATGGGTAGGTAGCTGTATTTGTGAGTGTGTTAGGTTGAACCATATAATACTGCCGACACTTGACTGTGCTTGACCTACAAAAGGGCTTTTTCACTTGGCTTGACCTCTTACATGTGTTACTCTAAGTGTATATGCGAGTGAGTGTGCAGAAGGGTTAAAGGCTTCAGCGTGTGTGGTGGGAGGAGGGGTTCCTGGCCGGCCAGCCTCGGGCTGTTTACCTCAGAGGAGGGCCGCCTGACCGCCAAACTGGGTGTTTTTTGGCTGAATTTCACCTCGCCCAGCAACTGCCTTTAATTCCAGCCCAGGACATTTCACAACTTTCTAAGGAAGCGGATCGCTTCATCCCCGCCTCCCTCCGCAGCCCCTTCTCCACGCTGCGCACCCTGGCTCAAGGCCCTAAAGCCTTTCTCTCCCCTGCCCTCCGGGGCCTAACCTTGAACCCTGCCCTGGGGCCTAGGGGGCTCTCCGCCCGCAGCCCGCCCCCTGCTCCGCCACCGTAATCTCCAGCCAATGACAGGACCCGGCTCCGGTCCCGCCCCCGGCTCCTGTGCCGCCCCCGGGCCTAGGTGCTCGCGGGCCAGGGCCAGGACAGATCCGAGCCGGGACGGCCAGCGCCCTGCCGGTCCAGCCAGGCCGGCCTGGGCCGTGCTGGGCGGAGACAGCTCTCTCGGACCCTGGCGGGGGGTAGTGAGGGGCGCCAAGGCCCCCGCCGCTCCCCCGGCCCTAGCGCTTCTCCATGGCGTCCTTGCAGCCCGCCTCGCACAGACAGGGTGCCAGGGGGTCAGGGCGGCCGCAGCTGTTTTTCATAGCCGCTTCGAGGTTGATGGGTCAGTTCTGTGTGTTTATTCGCCTTCCCCTCCAGAGCTATTTGTGATCCCCTTCTGGAGCCCCGTTCTTCCCTCTGTGGAGAGGGTTTTAGCTTTGCATGGCATCTAAGACGCTTCCAGCCGTGGGATCTGTGGGCTGGGGGGAGGAGGGAGAGGTGGGAGCACACAAAGGGCTGGGTGACTTTGCTTTTCCCTCCCCTGAGGGCCCGGCTCAGGCCAGTGAGTAGAACACACGGTCAGTTCTCTACTGGTAGGAATTCTGGGTCTGCCCTGTGGGTCAGAGCCTCCTCTTCTGGACACCTGGCCTGGCCCTGTTTCCCCCCTACTCCCACCCTCACCTCCCTAGTCATCCTGTTACTTGTCCTGGCTCAGTAGAAACCATGGACTGGGGGCCTCTGGGGCCACCGAGAAGGTTAAGGGGCACCATCCTGTTACAGAGCCAGCCATGGTCACAGCCTTGGGTTCTGGGATAGAACTCGGATGGCCAGGACAGGGGAGAAAGTCAGTAACGTGCTCTGTGAGCTTAAGTACGTTCCTTTCCCGCTCCAGGCCTCAAGTGTTCTCATCTGTCAAAGGTGTTGCTGTAGGTTAGTGTTTCTTAAACACCTAACCCATGGGTTATTAAGAGGCGAGTCATGATTAAGGGGTTCCATAAATAAGTAACTTGGGGGCTTCCCTGGTGGCGCAGTGGTTGAGAGTCTGCCTGCCGATGCAGGGGACACGGGTTCGTGCCCCGGTCCGGGAAGATCCCACATGCCACGGAGTGGCTGGGCCCATGAGCCATGGCCGCTGGGCCTGTGCGTCCGGAGCCTGTGCTCCGCAACGGGAGAGGCCGCAGCAGTGAGAGGCCCACATACTGCAAAAAAAAAAAAAAAGTAACTTGGGAAACCATGGGGTTAAACAGAACTTCTCTTTGTGAGCACTTCTTTGTGTGGGAGGGGAGCACAGCCCAGTTTCCGACCCTGATTTTGCCTTAGAACTTTTCTGTTGCGACTCTGGGGCTGGTGTTCCTGGAGCTCACGTTGAGGACTACTGGGCTAGAAGCTTCCAAGCTTGCTCGGGCGGAGAAAGGGGAGCCCTGGGCAAGTGTCAGGGTCTCCCTGCTCACTGACACTGCTCTCCTCTCTCAGCTGCCCAACATGTTTGGGAACCTGCGCTCCACTTTCATGGCCCTCATGATCGGCTCCTATGCCTCTTCTGCCATCACGTACCCGGGAATCAAGGTACGGAGCTGCCTGGGGAATGGGCAGCTGGTGGGCAGTGAGGTCGCTTGGCCTTCCTTCTGCCTTGACGCAAGACCTGGGTGGGGCTGGGCGCGTAGGATATCTGGTGACCTACTTCCTGCCAGGCGGAGGTCAGTTCCCACCACAGCAGGGCAAAGCACTGCAGCATCATGGGAAGAGCCCAGGTGCTGCTGTGGACCAGTGGGTCTGACTTCTCTGCTGCTCTGTCCAGGCCTTCATCCTCGCTCCTGGGCCAGTGCTTTCTCAGCTGATCTCCCTGCCTCCAAGCTTTTCCCTCTCTAAGCTGCCATTCACGTGACTTCCAGAATGACCTTAGTTGGAGGACTAGCTCATCCACCCACTCTGCTTCGCCTACAGAATCAGGTCCAACCCCTTCACATGCCTTCAAGGCCCTCGCCTCTTTGGCCTCAGCCCACCTTTCAGGCCATATCTCCTTCCCCAGCCCTGAAGAAGCTGGATGACTTGGGTCCAAGGTCACCAAGCTAGTTCAGGCCTGGCCAGCTCCTAGACAGGTCAGCCTGGTGGACCTAGAGCCGGAAGGCCTGAGTTCTAGCTCTGGGCAAGTTTGGGGCCTCTTTCCTCCCTCTGATATCAAAGTACCCTTCCAGCTGGGCCGCACCATGCCCCTCAGATTCTGCCTTGGGCAGTTAATTTAGTGGTTTAGAAGGCACTCGCTCAGCATCCGTCGCCAGAGGAGGTGGAGAGCACACTGATGGGGGTGACCAACAATTGTTCAGGTAGGAGCAGGCCTGGAGCTGGGGGTCCCCGTTCCCTTGACTAAGGCAGTGGGATTTGAGGAACCAGATCTTGGCGGGTGTGGCCCTTTGAAGTTCTGTCCTGCTCCCGGGGAAGAAAGAGCCCCAAAGCCTGCGGCCCAGGAGGAGCAGTTTTCCCAGGCAGCACTGGAGCTTGGAGCCTGCGTGGAGGGGGGACAGCAGCCATCCCAGGCAGAGGGTGGCAGGCAGGACATTTCTACATACCTGGCTTCCTCTCTAGAGCAGTTGCAACGTTGGCACAGAATCCCAATCGATAGAGAACCTGCTTGTCCCGGGGTTGGGAGGCTGTGGGCAGAGTGCTTGCACATGCCCCTCCCCTTTCAGTTGTCACACCTGTGCAAGGTGAGATACGGCTTCTCAGACTGGGTTTGTCTTTCCCCCAGGGAGGGTGCCCAGAAGGGGCAGGAAAAACACGGTTAGGCGCTTTCATCGTCCTCTCTCGTACATAAAATGAAATGACTTTCATGTGAAAACAAACGTGTATGGAGTCAAAGGCAACACTGGTGTGTCTTTTTAAGATAATAATTGAGATTTCAAAGACATTTTGAGCTTGTGGCCGGCCCCTTCGGCACCGTGTGTGAACTATTTCACACCTCTTGAGGGGGGCTGGGGTGAGAAAGGAAGAGGATGGTGGGGCTTCTAGATCCAACTCTTAACTTCTGGTCTTGGTTTCTTTGTCTGCAAATTGGGTACAAGGAATGGGGTAGAAGAGACCTTCTCTAAGGTCTCTGGGGCCTGGATTCTACCTCCAGCTGGAGGACGCAGGCCTGGGGCTGGGCAGCCTCCTCCATGGCCTGTCCCCTCCCCCGACAGCTGATCTATGATGCCGGCGTGTCCTTCATGACCATCATGTTTACCTGGTCAAGCCTGGCCTGCCTCATCTTTCTGAACTGTGCCTTCAACTGGCCGAGTGAAGCCTTTCCCTCGCCGGAGGAAGTCAACTACAAGTGAGTGACTGGGGTGTGTGGGGTGGGAGGGTGACTCCCCGCTGCAGATCTGGAGGCTGGGGTGTGGTGGTGTGATGGACAGAAGCAGCTGTGGACTCAGAGCAACCAAGATTTGCCGATCATCTGAGCTTTCCAAGTTCCGCTTTCTCATCTGAACCGTGGGCCTGATCCCACCCACCTGCAGGTGTTCTGAGTAGATCAGGCATAAAGCAGGCGGCCAAAACGTGGGGACTGTCTTCTTCTGTCCAGGTTTGGAGGATGGGATCAGAGTAGGAGGGACCGTTGCAATAGTGCCATGTGCTACGGGGACCCAGAAAGGGGGGGAACAGAGGAATGAAATCCCACCCTTTGTGGGGCAACCTGAATGCCAACTTTACCTACCCCCCCAGTCAGTTCCCCAGGGGGCTGGAGTGATGCCCCACAACCAGGCACCTAGGGTGCCAGTCAAATAGCTGATACTGATGGAGCATCTCCTGTGGGCCAGGCACTGTGCCCAGCGCTCATTCTCAGTCAGCTCTGTGACGTGGGTTGTGTTATTAACTCCATTCATAGCAAAGGCACAGGGAACAAAGTGACCTTCCTAAGGTCGTACCACTGAAGGGGGGAGGGGGGAATCTAAGGCTGGAATCAGAACTCCAGAGTCTGAGTTCTTTTTTTTTTAATTTATTGAAGCATAGTTGATTTATAATGTTGTGTTAGTTTCAGGTGTACAGCAAAGTGATTCATATATATATATATAGGTACACTTTTTCAGATTCTTTTCCCTTATAGGTTATTATAAATATTGAGTAGAGCTCCCCGTATTACACAGTGGGTCCTTGTTGGTTATCTATTTCGTATATAGTAGTGTGTGTATGTTAATCCTGACCTCCTAGTTTATCCCTCCCTCCGCCTCCCCACCCCGGAGTTTGGGTTCTCAATGCTGCCTCCGTGGCTACAGCCCGAGTGGAAAACGGCACATCCATCCTTCACTCAGCGTGTGCTGAGCTGGGCCCTGGGCCGGGCTCTGAGACACACAGACACAAGCCCTGCCCTTGGGAGCTTGTCAGTGGGCCCGTCAGTGCTGGTTAAAGGGGGGCTTGGCACCCCCTAGAGGCAGGCTGTTGAAGGGGGGCTCTGTGTGGCTGGTTCCCACGTGCTGTGGCCTGGCTACTGGCAGGGAGAAGATCAAGCTCAGAGGGCTGGCCCTGGATCACAAGGTGACAGGTGACCGCTTCTACACCTATGTGACCACTGTGGGCCAGCGGCTGAGCCAGAAGGCCCCCAGCCTGGAGGAGGGGGCAGACATCTTCATCTCGTCCCAGGACGTTCGTGACATCTCAGAAAAGTCTGCTGAGAGTGAGTGTCTGGTCAAGGTGCCGGCCGTGGGGGACGGAGAGGGTGGGTCCTTGTGCGTAGTGAGCTCATGCCCAGGTGCTCATCCTCTCCTCTTCAGTTCTCACCACACCCCCTCATAGAGGTGGGCCTGCTCCCTGTTTCTAGAATGGGGGCAAATCAAAGTCCCAGGGAACTCTGGGAAGCTCAGATTCAGGGGTACTCTGCGGGATTTCTGGGATGAGGGAGGGGCAGCTTCCAGAATGAGGCAGGGTGTCCAGGCCTGTGGGAGGGCTGGTTTCCTCAGGGCTCCCTGCAACCTTCAAGTCTCTTGCATCAGATACTGCAGGTGAGCCAGCCTCCAGTCTGGGTCCTCTGACACCTGGTTGCTTGGCGCCTCCTGCTGGCTACAGGAGGAGCTGCACCTGCCTTCAGCCTGGGCCACTTTGCAAGGTGACAGCTCTGTGACTAGTGGAAGGACGATGGGCCTGGGCGTCAGGAGATGGGGGTTTGAGTCCTGCTTCCCAATTGCAGGCCATGTGGCTTGGGTAGATCACTTAACCCTGCTCTCACTTTCCCTGTCTCTTTTTTTTTTTTGCGGTACGCGGGCCTCTCACTGTTCTGGCCTCTCCCGTTGCGGAGCACAGGCTCCGGACGCGCAGGCTCAGCGGCCATGGCTCACGGGCCCAGCCGCTCCGCGGCACGTGGGATTCCCCCCGGAACGGGGCACGAACCCGTGTCCCCTGCATCGGCAGGCAGACTCTCCACCACTGCGCCACCAGGGAAGCCCTTCCCTGTCTCTTAAACTAGCAGTAAGAACACCCACCTCACAGGGAAGTTAGTTGTGAGGATTGAATGAAGACAGGGACGTGGAAGCTCTTTGCAAACTGAAAATGCTGTGAAGTTATGAGTCTGATCCCCACTGCCGATCCTCCCATGGCAGAGTTGTTAACAGGCGTGAGCTGAGTCCATCCCACCTGCATCCCACCTTCCAGCCCCATGAGCTCGGGCAAGTCATTGCGCGTTCTGAGCTGCAGTCTCCCCGTCTGTAGAATGTGCTGCAGATAGGGTTGTTGTACAATTTGATTACATGGGATAATACCTGTCAAGTGTGCAACACACAGCAAGTGCTTAATAAGTAGTAGGTCGAGTTATTATTACCACGCCGAGCCTACGGTGCACACCTGGAGGTCCCCTGAAAATGTTCTAGTGAGGGAATTCCCTGGTGGTCCCATGGTTAGGACTCCACACTTTCACTGCTGAGGGCCCAGGTTCGATTCCTGGCTGGGGAGCTAAGGTCCCACAAGCCATGCAGCGTGGCCAAAAAAGAAAAGAAAATGCTCTAGTGAGGTAGTGATAGAGCTGGGCAAGAACTCGGAGGCCGGTAAAGCGGAACCCTCGTTTTTGAAGAAACTGATCCCTCGCCGAAGTCATAGCGTCAGAGCCTCTGCTAGAACCGCACCCGCTGGGACACGCGGAGGCAAGTGGAAGGTCTGGGGCTCAGGGGCGCCTCCTGCTGTCTCCCCAGAGTCCATGCCCTTGCGCAAGAGCCTCTGCTCCCCCATCTTCCTGTGGAGCCTCCTCACCATGGGCATGACCCAGCTGCGGATCATTTTCTACATGGCTGCGATGAACAAGATGCTGGAGTACATCGTGACTGGCGGCCAGGAGCATGGTGAGGTGCAGCCGAGCCCCCCGGGGGCTGGAGGGCAGGGGGTCACCCTGGCTGAGCTCCTCTCACCCTGGCTTTCCCCCTCCACTCCCAACAGAGACGGACGACCTGAAACAAAGGGTGACGGAGACAGGTAGGGGGACAAAAGCTTGGGTCCTTGCCCACACCCACCCTTCCACTGCCTGCTGTCGGGGGAGCCTGGACCCACCCTTGTCACCCTGGGCATTTGGGGGATCTAAGAATGTGGGGGTGAAGAGAAGGTGATTTTGTCATTTTCTCTCCTCTGCTGGGCGTGGGTGACAGTGCCCACTAGGCTGCTGGCATCTGTCATGTCAGCTCCTGACCCCACTTCTCTTCCTGCCCTGCCCAGTTGAGTTCTACTCGTCCGTCTTTGGGGCCATGCAGCTGTCGTGCCTTCTCACCTGCCCTCTCATTGGCTACATCATGGACTGGCGGATCAAGGACTGCGTGGACACCCCCACTGCTAGGTGACCTGCCCAGGGGTGGTGACAGCTTTGTGCTTTCACGTCCAGCATCTTATTTCATTCTCCCAAGAGCCCTGGGAGAGAAGGGGTACATCCCCATTTTACAGATGAGGAAACTGACACTAAGAGGGGACTTGGCTGGCTTGATAATAAGTATAGCTGACGTCAATGCTGACTGTGCACTAGGCACTTGCATTGTCCTATTGAGTCCTGCACCAGCTCCCGGAGGTAGGTACCTACATTATTATCCTCGTTTCACAGGTGAGGAGCTGAGATACAGAGAGGTTGACTAACTTACCCAAGATCACACAGCATTTAGTAGTAGGTTCCAGAACCTTTGTTATAAAGAGTACGCTCTAAAGCCTTACGGTTAGAAAGAGATAGAGTTGGTGTATTAGACATCTATTGCTGTATAACAAATCACCCCCAAAGTTGACATCTTTAAACAACAAACATTTATTATCTCATAGTTTCTGAGAGTCAGGACTCTGGGGATGACTTAGCTGCGTGGTTTTGTCTCAGAATCTGTCTGAGTCTGTTCAGACTGGTGTAACAAAATACCACAGACAGGGTAGCTTATAATCAATGGAAATTTATTTCTCACAGTTCTGGAGGCTGGAAGTCTGAGATCGGGGTGCCAGCATGGTCAGGAGAGGGTCCTCTTCTGGGTGTAAGCCTTCTCGTTGTGTCTTCACATAGAAGGACCTAGGGAGCTCTGTGGGGCCCCTTTATAAGGGCACAAGTCAAATCCCGGAGGCCCTACCTCTACCTCTATTTTTGTTGTTGTTGTTTTCTTTTGGCCCTGCCACGCGGCTTGTGGGATCTTAGTTCCCTGACCAGGGATCGAACCCGGGCCCCCTGCAGTGGAAGCTTGGAGTCTTAACCACTGGACCGCCAGGGAATTCCTGACCCTACCTCTTAATACCATCACATGGGCATTAGGATTTCAACATAACAATTTGTGGAGGACACAAACATTCAGACCATAGCAGGGTCTCTCATACGGTTGTGGTCAAGCTGTTGGCCAGGGCCGCAGTCATCTGAAGTATTGATGGGTTGGACAGTCACTCCTAAGCTTACTCGTGTGCCCATTGGAGGAGGTTTGGTTCCTCCCCACCTGGGCCTCTCTATAGTCTGCTCATGACACGGCAGCTGGCTGGCCCCAGAGCAAGACAGCTGAGGGAGGGACAGAAGCAACAAGGTCTTTCATGACGTCATCTCAGAAGTGACATACACGAGTGAGGTTGTCTTCTATAGGCACACAGAGTAACTCTGGAACCTTGTGGAAGGGGACTGTACCAGGGTGTGAATGCAGGATGCGGGGGTCATCGGGGTCGTCCTGTGGCCTGGAGACCACCAATGGGTCTTTTTCTCCCCACCACATTTTATTTATTTATTTATTTTTGGCTGCATTGGGTCTTCGTTGCTGCGCGTGGGCTTTCTCTAGTTGCGGAGAGCGGGGGCTACTCTTCGTCATGGTGCACGGGCTTCTCATTGCGGTGGCTTCTCTTGTTGCGGAGCACGGGCTCTAGGCGCACGGGCTTCAGCAGTTGCAGCATGTGGGCTCAATAGTTGTGGCTCGTGGGCTCTAGAGCGCAGGCTCAGTAGTTATGGCGCATGGGCTTAGATGCTCCACAGCATGTGGGATCCTCCCGGACCAGGGCTCAAACCCATGTCCCCTGCATTGGCGGGCAGATTCTTAACCACTGCGCCACCAGGGAAGTCCCGCACCACTGGGTCTCGCACGAAGGTCTTCTGACTGCTTGTGTTCTTTTTGTGTTGATCCAAACGGTCCTGTTTGTCCTGAGAGGATGGGAGAGGGAGACTAGGAGAGAAGTCACTAAGGATGTGGCTTCCCTCCCCACCAGTGGTACCCTGGCCCTGGTACCCAGCCTTCCTCCTCTACGCTCTGTTCTGACGGCCATGGTCCATCAGCAGGGCCCTTCTCTCGGACCAGTGGGGCGGCCTGTCTTCATCTGTCTCAGCCTGCTGACCTCTCCTTTGGGCCAGACTCAGAGCCCTTGATTATGCTACAGGGAGGGGCTTGCTGGGCAGTCAGGGGCCAAGCGGCTGTCCCTAGAGTATCATCTACTTTTGTCTAGGCTGGTGGGCAGGGACACTTTTGTTGGGGGGCTTCTGATGAGAGATGGTGTGAGAGCTCCCCATTCTCCACCTTCCTTCCCATCCTCGATTCTCAGACTTCAGTGTGCTTATGAAATAGGAGATCGTTTTCCAAATGCAGATTCCAGGGCCCACCACCCGAGATTCGGATGTTTGGGGCAAGGCCCTGGAATCTGCATTTTAAAGAAAACCTCCAGATGATGCTGGGGGGGCCACGCTTTGAGAAACACAGGGCTGGAGGAATGACTCTCTCCCTTTTCTGCTACCCTGAAAGGGGAGGGACCAGGCTGAGAACCCAGGGGGTGGGGAGGGCTGCCAAGGAGGTCGGGGCAGCGGCCCGTGACGGCCTGTTCTCCTCAGGGACGGCGTGGCCACCAAGTCCGTCAGACCACGCTACCGCAAGATCCAAAAGCTCTCCAATGCCATCAACGCCTTCACTCTAACCAACCTTCTGCTCGTGGGTTTCGGCATCACGTGCCTCATCGACAGCTTACACCTCCAGGTACCGACTTCCACCCTCCCCAGTCTCCCCGCCCTGCAGAGTGCCGCCCCGGGCATGCGTCACCTGGCAGGTGCTTTCCAGGAAGCAGGGCTCCCGTCCTCTGGGTCTGTTTTCTGGGCCGTCCAGGCAGTGTTTGTAGGAGGTTGGGTTGGGAGGGGGCAGGCGCGTGCAGGCCGCCCTCCCTCCTGTGTCCACGCAGCTCTCAGCTCTCCCCGCTCTCTTTTTGGTTTCAGTTTTTGACCTTTGTCCTGCACACCATGGTCCGAGGCTTCTACCACTCGGCCTGTGGAGGCCTCTACGCGGCAGTGTGAGTCAGCTGGGCTCCCGGGCTCCCCTGAGCGCGCCCTTCCGCAGCCTCCCTGGGCTGCTGCTGTGTCGGGGCTGGTGAGGCTCTGGAGGCTGCCTGGCTCGCTGCCCTCGCCCCAGCTTCCTAGTGGCAGGGAGCTCCCTTCCTCAAAGGCAGCCCGCCGCACTGTGGGATAACCCCACTGTCAGAACGTCTTCCCTTAGGGGCAGCTGAGGTCCTTGGCTGCGTGACCCTTGGGTCCTCTGTCTGCTCTCGGGAGCGGCCCCTGGAGTGGCCTCTCTCCCCGTGCCAGCCCTGTCGAAACCTCCAGAGGGCAGTCTCGCTTGCCTCCTGACTTCCCTGCTTCATGTCGAACAACCCCCTCCCCTGCCCCACCCCCCTGGCCCTGTTCCCTGTTCCCTTTTCCTCCTGGTTTCCACGGCTGAGGGTCTCCCCAGTGTGTGATGGAGTAAAAGAGCGGTGACAAAATTGTAACTGTCCTGGAGCGCTTATGACTCCATCGTGGGCGTGGCGTGACATGCTGACCCCACGCCCTCATTCAGACCTCAGAGGCAGCCCCAGCCGGGCCTTGGAGTCGTCCTTGCTTCCACGCCCTCATTCCTCACAGCCCACATCCAGTCCACCAGCGAGCCTGCCCGCTCCGCATTCCACAGCCTCCAAACCCAGCCCTTCCGAGCATCTCCAGCGGTGCCGCCCCCTGGCTTGGGTTATTGCCGCTGCCGCTGCCTCCTGACCGTCCCTGCGTCCGCCCTTGCTTTCCCTCCGTATTTTTAACACAGGAGCTGGAGACACCTGTTAGGACATAAGTCTCTTCACATCACTCCACAACTGCCCGTCTTATCTCACGTAGAGAAGAAGCCAAAGGCTTCATTATGGCTTAAAAGGCCCTACAGGGTCCCCCCCCACCCCCACCGCCCGGCCAGGGACCTCTTCCTTCACCTCCCCACCTCGCTCACCTGCTTTTCCCACATGGCTGCCTCATGCCACAGAAACCCTATGTGTGTTCCCTCCTCAGGGCCCTTGGACTTGCTGTCCCGTCTTCCTGGCACGTGCTTCCTCCAGATATCCACAAGGCTCCCAGCCGTCTCACCTTCTCCAGGCCTTTCTCCAGCTGTCCTTGTCTCGGTGGCCTCTGCGGGCCATCCCGTGTACAGTCGCAGCCCCCTAGATACCCTCACCCCCTCTCTGCTGAGCTCCTCTCCACAGCACTTACCACTTTCTAACACACTGTGCGTTTTCGTTTTGTTGTGTTTTTTTGGCCACACCCGGCATGTGGGATCTGAGTTCCCAGATCAGGGATCGAACCCGTGCCCCCTGCAGTTGAAGCACAGAGCCCTAACCACTGGCCCGCCAGGGAAGTCCCAACGGTGCATTTCTCTTGCTTGCTGTGTGACGACCACCTGCGTGCCACCCCCCAGCCCCCACCCGTCGCCAGAATGCTACCTCCGTATCTGTTAGGTTCATTGCCGTATCTCCATCCACCTAGAACAGTACCTGGCGTCACAGGAGCTCAATAAATATGTGTTAAAAGAATAAACAAACAGCCCAGTGAGGTTAGTGCTGTCCCTGTTTTTAGGGAAGAAAGTGAGGCTCAGAGAGGTTGAGTAACTTGCTGTTATCACACAGACAGTAGGTGTCAGAACCCAGCTCAGTAGCCGTGAAGTCACAGCCTACACCCTCGAGGCCAGGGCCCGTGCAGAGAACCTGAACTCTTAAGCTCTGCCCTGCCTGGCTAACAAAGAGTGATATCTAGGGAGGGACGGGACAAAGGGTGGGGCTAGAGAGGACCACGACCCTCACGATGCGCCCTCCCTCCTCTCATTGACAGGTACCCGTCCAACCACTTCGGGACACTGACGGGCCTGCAGTCCCTCATCAGTGCTGTGTTTGCCCTGCTCCAGCAGCCGCTTTTCATGGCCATGGTGGGACCCTTGAAAGGAGAGCCCTTCTGGGTGAGAAGTCAGGGTGGGGGGGTGGCATGGGGGCAACAGGATCCCCCTTCCTGGTTACACCCAAGGAGTTGAGGATGGGGGCTCTTGTATGTGATGGGATCCCTCGCTCTTATCTCAGCCAGGAGGCACCTTGGAGGTCTCTAATCAGGGGGCCCCCAAGCTGGCTGTCCATCACACCCGCCCGCAGATTCCCCAGCCTACTGAATCAGCATCTCTCGGCCTGGGCCCAGGCAGCTCCCAGGTGATTTGTACAGTGACCCAGTCCTGATCCAGTCCAGTTCCACCCGATGCAGGGATCTTCTCTCCAGAGCCCCTAGAAAGGGGTTCCTCCAGACCCTCTTAGTCAAACGCCCGCGGCGATGGGGTGCCGGTCCTGTACAAGGAGGCAGCTGTGGGTCTTGTCGGAAAGGCTTTTCTTTACATCGAACTGACCTCACCTCCCTAAAGCTGATATCTGCCTCGAGGGCCCACCCACTCCCCACAATGATCCCTCCACAATGATGACGAAGTGACAGCTGCCACTTCCCAAGTGCTCACCCGGTGCCAAGCGCACCGTGTGTTTTGTACTGCACGTTGCCACAATGGCCCAGAGAAGGAGGTGCGTCAAATTAGGATGACTTGCCCAGAGCCACACCGTGAGTAATGCAGGGTGGGATGTGCGCTGCGTGGGCTCGGACCCAGGCCTTCTATCCCAGGATGCACCCCAGTGCTGTTGACCGCCTGGGAGCACCACTCCCAATGGGATCCCATTGCCAACGCCCTCAAAGGTCGAGGTTCCCAGCCCAGGCTGCCCAGACAGCACCAGATCATTTGGGCACCAGCATTAGCTGGGGTTCAAACCAGGCTCTGACACTTTCTAAGGCCGCCGGACATTCAGTGAGATGCTGGTGGAGAGTGAGTGCACACAGCGAGTACTGGCTCTGTCTGTCATTCTGGCCCAGGACCTGGACTAAAAATGGCTGCCTTCTCCTCCCTGTGGGAGGCTAAGGAGGATCCCTGAGGGTCATGAGGGTGAACAGGTACCCACTTGACCCGCTTTTCTCTCTCTCTTTGCCCTAAAGGTGAATCTGGGCCTCCTGCTGTTCTCACTGCTGGGATTCCTGCTACCTTGCTACCTCTTCTACTATCGCACCCGGCTCCAGAGGGAGTACATCACCCACTGGGAGGGCCCCCTGAAGGTGCTTGGCAGCCCTGAGGTGACTGCCTAGGCCTCTGAGGGGCCTGGGTGACAGGCAGTCAAGGCCTGAGCAGCCAAAGGGAATGCCTCGTGGCTTTTCTACTTGTAACCTCCGCACAGAGCCAGGCGCCAGGGACCTATAAATACCAAGAGAAGTTCTATTTTTGTAGGGACTTGATAAAAAGGAAAAAAAAATCCCCAAAGCAGCATTCCGTGGACTGAAGATGTCCCCCGTGCTAGGATCAGACCTTCTTGCTCCTGGGATTGGAGGAGACCAGGGTGCAGCCCTGCCCTTTCTCTGGGCCTAGGGGTCTGCCTGCTGCTGCCTCCTGGGGGCTTGTGGGATCAGTGAACAGGTGACCCCTAAGATCTCAGCCGTGCAGTGTCCAGAGTGTGCAGGCATGTGTGTGTGCATGTGGGTATGAAAATCCCTGCCCCTCAGAGGAGAGGGGCCTGAGGTGCTGGCTGTGTCCTGAATGCTGCCGCGTGGGCGGTAAGCCCCTTCCCGAGGCTGGAGGGTGGGTTCCCTCCCTGCTGCTGCTGCTGCTTGCAGATCTTAGAGGAAATAAAAAGGGAAGTGAGAGGCTGGCTGGTGTGTACCTGCCTGTGTCTTGGGGGAAGGGGGTGTCTTCCCACACCCCATCCCTCGTCCTCAGCCAGGCTCAGCTGGGCGTTAAGTAGGACACCGGAAGTGCCGGTCTGTCCACCTGTGGCTGTCTGGCTCACCTCCCTGTTCTCAACCATACCCTGCCCTTAGTGTCTGGAGGGAGTCCAGATCCTGCCCTCTGCTCCTGCCCGCCACTTCTCAGGGTTTGGGGTACATCCGGGAGGTTGGCCTTTCTCCCTACAGGGGATAAGGGCAGGATGCTTTGGAGAGAATGCTAAGGAATGCCTCTCAAACTTTCCTATCCGGGGATCCCTGGAGGGAGGTCTGTCACAAGTAACATTCTTTATAGTGTTTTATCATAAAACTTCATGCAAATTTTGAGCTTCATTTTATGCTATTTTCATATTTACTTTTAGCAATAAATGAGGCTTTAAAATTACCCGCATCAAGGGAAGACACTGTCTTTGAGGACAAGGGACCTTCCAGGAAGCTGTACCTTACTTATCCCACTCCTACATCTCTTTCTGTCCTGGGACATAAACCTTAAAGTCACAGAATGGAGGGATGGGGCAGGGAGGGACCACTAACATTTGTTGAGGATCTGCCTGTCCTAGCTACACAGGTATCTCATTTCATCCTAACTGTAGAAGTCGGTGTCTTCGGGTTGTTTCATAGATTGAGGAAAGCTCAGACAGATTAAGGCACGAGACCCAAGGGCACACAGCTGGTAGGTAGGTGGTGGGGCTGAGCTTGGAACCTGGGCATTCTAACCGCTGAGTCCTAACCCCAGGGCTGCCAAGGCAATCAGCGGCAGAAAGGAGGTCCCAAGATTGTGAGCTCAACTTTCTGCTGCCCTCTCAGGGCTGAAAGTAACCACAAAAGCCTTATCTCCCCCCCCCCGCCACACACACGCCGAAAAAACCCTTGGAGAACCCCCAAATTTTAGCCCTGGAAGACAGTATTACAAATAAGCCCTCCCTTTGTCTTAAACTGTCTTTAGGAGTTGATAAAACAGACTGACCCACCCATTTTATAGATGACCAGAGGGGTCTGGACACTTGACAAAGTTGCACAGCAGATACCTGGCTGCTCTGAGCCCAGACTCCTGGCTGGCAACACTGTGCCCTTTTCGCAAAATAGAAACCAGAACTGGACAGCAGCCACCAACGGGTTGGACGGGCTCCCAGAGGCCTTACCCTGGTCTCACTACACTCTCTGTCCCAGACCTTGAGTTTCCCTACAGTCTGTTGGAAGTTGATCACAAGCGATGAACAGAAGTGGGGCGGGCGGAGGAAGCAAGGCGTGTGCGCCGGGTGCTCGGTGTGCCCAGCAGGCGGCGCTGCGTGGCTGCGGCTGGGACGGGGTGGGAGGGTGAGAGCCGGCGGCGAGCCAGGAAGGGAACCTCGACACCCCTCCACATACACCCCTTACCCACTAGTCTGCCCTTTCCTGGGTCTCGATCTCCAGACCCCTACCCTGGCTTGCTCTGCCCTCCTTCGCCGAACATCCTTTCAAGCGTTATCCCCTGCCCCACTGACCCTCGAGGCTGAAGGAGGGGGTCTCGACTCTGCCCCTGCCCAGGTGGGGCGTGGGACCGGGTGGGAGATGCAGGCAGAGATCTCGGCCTCCTGGGGGAGGGGTGTCTCCTCCCTCCCCGTTCCCGGGGTGGGGAGCTTGGGGAGGGGGCTGGGCAGGGGCGGAAGCGAGCTGCAGCCGCGTTTGCCGCGGCGCTGCCGAGTGGAACAGATGGCTGGGGAGGGGAGAGGGTACGTGGCGGGGAGGAGGAGGGGTGCGGGGGCCGCAGGATGAGGAACGAGGAATTTCGACGCCCCGAGTCTCCCAGGAGAAGCCCCCCTCCCCATCTCTTCCCAGAAAGAGGGGCGGGCAAGCGCCTGCCTTTTTTCCCAGAGAGCCCCGGCCTCTGGCCTGCGGCAGACCCGCCGTCCCCCTGGGTCGCGCCCCTCACCCCCTAGACTCCCGGCGCGGACCAAGCCGGCGGGGTCCAGACCGCAGGGAGCAGCCCGGGTCGCAAGGATTAATGGGGCCACACTCCGAGGGGCGAGGGGGCGGCGGGAAGCGGGCTCCCGAGCCGGGAGCGAGTTCAGGGATCGTAAATAGCTGAGGGAAAACGTGTTAATTGGAACTTTATGCAGATGAGCTGGGACGCGGGCTGGGGAGGGCCGCTGGAGGGAGAAGAAGGTCTGACGGACGCTGGACCCGAGGGGAGGGCAGGAGGGCTCCGGCCGGGGGAGTGATGGGTAGATGTGTATCTGTTTATCGCTGCGTGGGACCTCCGGGGAGGGCCGCTGGTCTCCGAAGATGAGGGCTCCTCCTTGACCCTACGCCCCAGAAACAGGGGACTCTTCCAGAGTCTCCACATCCCGGGACCAGAAGTTCAGGGTCTCAGATCGCCACGAAGGTGGGGGCAACGTGAAAGTGGCTGTTTCCGCTTGTGGCTGCTTACCCTGGGTGTCACATTCACTGCATCCCCCCGCCCCCATCTGTCTCCATCCTTTTTCCCCATCCCTGGCATCACTCTCTCCTTGCAAGAGTATTGTCTGTAACTTCCACCAAGTGAGTGGGGGAGGGGAGGGAATCTAACTTTTCTTCCTTTGCTTTCTCCCCTCTGCCCCCCAAGGACCACCCCACCTTTGAGGTGGTGTCTCTCAGCCTTTAGAGAGCTTCATAACCCACCCCTACGTGTTAAAATGCAGATTCCAGGGCTCCCTTAGAGATCTGCTTCAGGGGCTCAGGAATCTGCATCTTAGCAGTTTCCCACCTAAATCGGATGTAAAAGACCTTCATTTTCAGAAACATTGTGCAGGGAATTGGTGGGCTGGAAAGACTGGACAAGTCTTCATCAACGGTCCCCCCACCCCTCCTCCATGCTCCTGACCTCACCTCTGCTCTGTATGGCCATCTCTGCTTCCGGTGTGAGAGTACCAGGGGATGGAGAAGGTGCCAGAAAGGAGGGAAGGAAGGGAGGAAGGGGGGTCGGAGGAAGGAGACAGAAAGAGAAAGAAAGAGTGAGGCTCACCTGGCTGTCCTCTCTCTGAGCAGGGTCTTACCCTTCCTCTCTCTGCTACCTTCTTCCCTCCCGTCTGCCTCAGCTGCTCTTTCCATCTTCCTCTCTCACTTCCCTTCCCCCACCTCATCTGAAGTTTCTAAGGCCAAAGAATCTTGGGGTAGGCAGTTTGGATCTTAGGGAGTAAGGGGAGAGCCAAAGTCCCCACCTCCAAAAGAAAGAGGCAAAGCACCTATCTGGGGTAGGAAGAAAACAGGAGGGAGGCAGGGCTTGAGGAAAGATAAGGGTGACAGCAAACATATAGGCCACCTTTCCACAGGCTATTGCACTTACTCCCCACAACAGCTCAATTTAGGCAGGTGCTATTGCCCCCAGGTTATACATGCAAAACAAAAAAGGGATGTTCAGAGAGGTTAAGTGACTTGCTCAAGGTCACACAGTAAGTGGGAAAATAGATAGGTCATTCACCCTTCTATTTCCCCCAAATCATTTCTCAAGAGGCTGCTGGGTAGCTGACCCAGGCCTCCCCTCCCTGCCCTACCCCCCCCCCCGGGGCAGTGGGGGTGGGGAAGGGCATCATGTACAGAGATGAAAGGAGATGCTCGGGTTTCGGAACATCTGACAAGTCTGGCTGGAAGCATTAAAAATTCATTTAGAAACCTGACCCCAGTTGGACCTTGGGTCTGCCACCTGGACTGTCCCTGGCCTGGTGGCCTCTCAGATCCTGGTGGGCAAATTTCCCTTCAGCAGTGTCCTGGGAGCCCCCGAGTCCGTATTTCACAGGAGGGGGCTTCTCTCATGGATTAGGGAGCTAAAGTCAGAAGCCAGCAGCTGAGAAAGCAGGGCTGAGAACCCTCCCCCCACTCTGAGTGTAAGAACCTTAGAGGTTTCAGGGCTTATAAACCTTGTCATCTGGCGTCCTTCTCTTCCTCTCCCCAGGCAGACAGATACTCACTCTCAGTTTAGGGTAACTCAGCCTGGCTGTGATACCCGAGGTGGCCAGTGGAGGGCAGCTATCTCCTATGAGGGAGCCCTAGCCTGAGCCTCTACCGAAGCTTTGAAGGACAGGAAAAGAACCCCATGGATAAGGTCCCGGAGATGCAGTTTCGGCCTTGGGGAAAGGCTCTGGAGTCTGTCATCTGAGGACAGGGGGAGAGGGCTCCTAGTCTGGGGGAGATTGAGGAATTTTGGGGAGGGTTCAAAGTAGGTTTGTGGGTTTCAAGTACATGGTAACTGATGGCCAGCATGATACAATCTTCCTAGCTGGAGTGAAGGTTTGGGAGGAGGCCACGAGAGAGAAAGCTAGAAAGGCAGTTGGGACCAGACTCTAAAGAATCTTTGATGCTTTGCTAAGGTGTTTTATCTTTAACCTGTAGGCAACAGGGAGCCATTGTAAGTTCCTGAGTAACAGAATGACATAATGCAAATGCTGGTCAGCTGAATCTGGCCAACGGGGGCCCGTGAGTGGGAGGGAGAGAGAGAGTGAATGGAGGAAAACCAGAGAGGAGGTTATTGCTATTTTCTTCTATATTCTAGGCATGAGGTAATGAGGAGATGAAGCAGGGAGGTAGCAGGAGGAATGGAAAGGAAGGGCTGGATGGGGGCTGCGAGGGGGACTGGGTGAGCGAGCAGAGACAGGACATGAAAGAAAGGGAGGAGTTAACTACCACCGGTGTCAGGCAGACAGAGAGAACTCAGCATGTGGGTGTACACTCAGGATGCAGGAGGTGAATGAGTTTTGTTCCTCTCAGGGCTAAGAATCTTGGATACATCACCTCCCCTCTCCGGGCCTCCGCTGCCCCCCTCGGAGCATCGGTGGGGGTGGGACTGGACGGCCTTGAAAGTCCCTCCTATCTCAGGGTGTGTGCTCAGGGTCATCAGTCTGGGTTGTTTGGGAGAGGCTGGGGTCTGTGTGTGTGACATTTCATGGGCGGGGACCCATGTGAGCAGCTGCACACGCATGTCGGTATTTGGGGGTGCATCCTCCTGTTTGTGGGACCCGTGGGTGTTGGCATGCCTGCACGTGCTCTCTAGCTCCGCTCTGTGTTAGTGTGTGTGAGGGAGCGTGTGAGCGTGGGTGTGCACGTGATGGGCGTCCGTGGGTCTGTCTGGGCGGGGGTGGGGGAAAGTGGCATTGCTGTGGGCTGCTTCCTGAGGCTCACACACTCCTCTTGCTTTCACTGCTCTGAAATAGCATCTGGACCAAAGGCCCATGAATATTTCACAACGAAAATTCTGTGACCTGGACTGCCTGCTTCTGAGTTCCCAGCATCTTCCCTCCTCCCCCTGCCCAGGCCCCAGCAATCCCTCTCTCAGAGCTCTTGCCTGGCTGGCCCCCTAGGCCCCCTCATTAGTCTCCTCAAAGCCAGCCTGACACAGGCCCCCATGAGACCCCAGACTTGGGGGGGCACTATCCTCCCACCCCAACCCCACATCTTTATCCAAAGTCCACCAGCTTCAGGCCTTAGATGTTCACTCTGTCCCGTTTCTGCCTCCTCTTCCCACTGTCCTTCTGACTTGTCTGGCCAGGGCCACAGAATCGCAGCATCCTTGAGCCCTGGCACCCAGGTACCGTCTCTTTCCATCCCCAGATCCCAAGTTAGATTTTTTTAACCCTAAATTTAAACCATCAAATGTCTCCCCAGTTGCTTCTGTTGGATGAGACTCAACCAAGTCCTTCTTAGCCAGGGCTCTTCCCTTTCCCCAGCCTCCCCTCCACACACTGGAAAGATGAAGCTTCTGATCACACCTCAAGCCAGCAAGACACCCCAGCTTGGGATTCCTGCCCCTCTTATCACCCTAGCCCCTTGATTTCGCCTCTAACCTGCTTGGAGAACTGCTTCTCTGACCTGATTCCTCCCTGATGACTTCTACCTCACAGGAGCCAAGGGAAAGAGACCATCTGTCTACAAGGTTGCTGTGTACAGCTGTGCAGGCTGTACACTGCACAAGGGCAATCAGGTGAGGGGGCAAGTGTGAGCCTTATGCTCTGTTTGCTGTGGTATGGGGCTGGGTTCCCCTGAGGAAGAGGTGCCTTTCTCAGATTTATCCAAAGTCATGTTTGGGCTGGCTGTGACCACGGCTGTCCATGTTACTCCTCGTTGCAGGGGAAAGAGGGAACTGCTCTCCCTTCCTGAAGGAACAGAGCCTCAGAGAGAACGGTTAGCCAGGCTGGAGGCCTTCCCCAGGCTTAGCTCCTCAGGCATAGACAACTCAGGGTCGCATGTAGCTGCTTCTCCTGGACAAATGAGGAGCTGAGGTGCCATTAGCACCCACTCCTGGCTATCAGATTTCACCTGTCCTGCCTGGGACTCCAGGGTCACAACCCTGGTCCTGAGGCTTCAGCTTCTTGTCATGGGAAAACAGCAAGAAGCACTTGGATAGCATGGAATGGTTCCCCTTTTTGAAACCCTCCTGGCCCTGAAAGCCTGATGGTTCTAAGCCCTCCTCCCACTTTTGAGGACCTGAGCCAACAAATCTTACAGAAGATAAAATAATAGAATTTTTTAATAAATTTTTTTTTTTCCCAAACAACTTCTGTTGATCTTCACCACACAGGGGCCACGGTGGAGAGGAAAGCTCTCTCCAGGCACCCTAAAAAGTGTCCAAGGTAGACAGGAGAAAAGTATTTCTCCAGTGTCGGGAGGTTGAGGGGTGCTAGGATAAGCAGGGGCCTAGGGTTGGCCTGGCCCCGACTGAAGCATCCCTCCAAAGGGCTCCTGGGCAGGGCTCCCTTCCCGGGAGCTTCCAAAGGCTCTGCTGGTGGAAGATGCTCTGCAGACAAAGCCCGTCCCGAGTCCACTGTGGGCACTGGGAGAAGTGGTCAGCGGCTGCCTGGGGTGCCCACCCCAGCCTTGGGATGGGAACGGGTTAACGGCCAGAGTCGGGGAGAACAGGGCTGAGCCACCAGATGTGTCCTCCTGGGGCTGCCATAAGCCAGCAGCCTGGGAGGCAGGGAGAGATGGCCTGGTCCCAGGGGAAGAGAGGAGCTGGGAGCGGAAAGAAGGCAGCAAGGCCGCAGGGCCAGAGGGCGGGGACTGGGGCCGGAGCCGCAGCTGGGGATGGGGATGAGGGAAGAGGGGGAGCGAGACACACCGGCCTCTTCAGTCTCAGCACCGCAGTCAGAGGTGGTGGGGGACCAGGAGCAAGACGCAAAGCAGAGGGGTGGGGAGCCCGGCCGAGAGCGCGGGGCCGCGGGAGTCCGGGGTCGCCTGGCAGGCAGCGCCGGGGCACGTCTGCTCGCCCCGCTGGTCCTCGCCCCCGTAGCTCTCCCAGTAGTCGTCCTCGGTGGGGGCGTCCCCGCCCTGGCGCCCCCGCGGGTCTTCGGCTGGCAGGTCTCGGTAGAGGGTGGAGGGGTCGGCGGGGGGCGCCCCGGCCTCGGCCACCCCGTACAGGTGGTTGGACGAGCTGTTGCCGCGGGCGCGGCTGCCGGGCCGCGTGGGCACGGCGGGCGGGCAGGCCTGGAAGTCGGCCTCGCGGAGGGAGCGCAGGTCGCGGCCCTGGCGCTCCGGGGGCGTGGCGCACGTCACGTCGGAGCTGGACACGCGCGCGCGCTGGAACCAGGCCCAGAGCGGCCGCGCGCGGCAGTCGCACGCCCAGGGGTTGGCGTTGAGCCGCAGGAACTCCAGCGCCGGCAGGTCAGCGAGCGCCTCGCCCGGCAGCGAGGCCAGGCTGTTGTTGAACAGGTAGAGGATGGTGAGGCGGCTGAGGCCGCGGAAGGCCGCGCGGTGCACGCCCTGCAGCCGGTTTCCGTGCAGCAGCAGCCGGTCCAGACTGCCCAGGCCGCGGAACACGTGCTCCGTGAGCAGCCGCAGGCGGTTCCCGTGGAGGAAGAGGTGGCTCAGGTTGGCCAAGTCCGCGAACAGGTCATCCTGGCGGGGGGCGGGGGGGGGGGGGGGGGGGGAGGGGAGAGAAGAAGAGTGGTGAGTGGTTCTGAGACAGGCACCGAAGAAATCTGGGAAAGAAGGGGAGCATTGTGGTGGAACAGAAGGGGTTTGACCTTCTGATTCATAGAGTCCTGGGTTCTAATCCTGCCTCCTCTAACCTATTTAGAGGTTAATGTGAGAAACGCAATATAGTTCTTAAAATTTTGGGGGTGCATCAGAATCCCCTGCAGATCCCTGAGCCCTGCCCGCAGGGTTTCTGATTCAGCAGGTCTTGGAGCGGGGGAAGGGGTGGGCGCGGGGGCGGGGGGAGATTCTGCACGTCTTTACAAGTTCCCAGGTGGTACTGATGCTGCTGGTGGGAGGACCACACTTGGAGAATGAGAACCTCTGATTTGGCTAAGTATGCAGACTTTCAGACTCCCTGACTTTCAAATCCTGGCCTTACTAACTGACACTTGAGCGAGTCACTCAGTATCCTTATGACTCAGTTTCTTCACCTGTAACATGTGGAGATGAAATGAAACAACATGTGTTAATACACGTGGTGGGCATTCTGTGAGTTAGCCATTATTGTGAACTTGGCCAAGCCAGCAATCTGTTTCCTCGTCATTAAAATGGAGGTGAGTGTACCTCCCCCTGGGTTTGCTTTGAGGATTAAAGAAGACAATCCCCATACCTATCAGATGGGTGAAGTGTCGGGCACAGGGCCTGGCACATTGGGGTTCGGTCCAGTGATGAAGCCCACAGGCTCAGGAGTCAGCAGAGCCACGGCTCAAATCCAGCTTGCCCTCTTCCCAGCTGCGTTACTTTGGGCAAGTTATTTAGCCTCATTGAGCCTCAGTTTCCTCAGTGTGTGTAACTCAGAGAACAACTCTTTCAGCAGGCTGAGGGAGGGTTAGATGAGATCCTGTAAGGATGTCGTACCCGGTGGGCACACAGACCATCAATAAATGGTGGTTATTATGACAATAGTGTCTTGGTTAGAATTAGGTCCCATCCATTTTCCTCTAATAGAAGAGCTTCCTGGGACCCCAAAGTTCTGCTACTGGGCTGGGACATTAAGGGGACCATATCAGCTCCACCCCACAGAGGCAGCAGGGGAGGGGAAGGAAGCCTGCTGCCCCATGCCCTGCATCACTGTCCCCTTAGAGGGGCTGTCCCACCTGCCCAAGGCTGGGGAGTCTCTGAATCAGACCATATTAGTGCTGGAAGGGCCTTGAACTGTGGTTCAGGGGAGTGGAGGAGTGGGTATGCTCCATGGAGGGGAGAGAGCAGGGGGCTGGCGCTGCATTTTAACCAGTTCACCAAGGTATTTGGGAGTTAGTGCTTTTGGGGGCACCAGCCTAGCCTACGTTTTTGCAGAGGAGAGCACTGAGACCCAGAGAGATGAAGGGCCTGCCAGAGAGGGGACCGGAGCCCCAGTACTGAGGTCCTCCCCTCTTGTGGAGGACCTCATTGTGGTCAGCAGACCCGGGGGGTCTGGTTCTGGGGGACAGGGGCATCCTCTGTGCTCAAGCCAGCTCACCCTGGATTCCTGTTTCCTGGCGGTGCCCCTCCCACCCTTCCCTGCCTGGGGAGATGATCCCCCCACCTCACCCAGGAGCCTGGTCTCAGGCTCTCAGGTGGGGGGAGGGCGTTGACTCCCAGCCCACACTCACAGCCTCCGCCTTCCTGTGCTCCTGCATTTTCTCGCCCCCTCCCATCTGGCTTCCGCCCTCTCTGCTACAGGAACTGAGCCTGCCAAGAACCCTCCTCTTGGCCACATTGAGATCCGTCCCCCTCAACCTTCTCGACTGCCTATGACACCAGCTTTCTCCACCTCCTGCTGCCACGGCCCCGTGCCCAGCTCAGGTCTCCAGCGGAGGGCTCCCCGCACGTCCGTGGCCTCAGCCTGGCCCAGCGTGGCCTGGTGTCCTTGTCCTTTTCTTCTTGGCCCCCCCAGGGAGTGGGCTGAATCCCTTCCACTCAAACACCTAATTAGGGTTTCTCTTTTTAATGGAGTGTCAGCAAGAGTAGGACACACCCAGAGGTACCTGGTCAAAGGATAGATGTGGGGTGGGGTGGGGTATAGAGGGAGCAGAGGCAATCGGCACTTTGGGGACTTCCGGAAGTCAGGAAGGGAAGACCGAAAGTTCAGAGATGTTAGGGAATTCAGGCACCTTTGACCTACAGCCCCAGTTTTGGGGCTACAGGATTCCTTGATTCCAATCTCCTCCTCCTTCCCCTGGCAAAAGTCCTGCCCCTCCTGCTCTGAGCCTCAGCCTGGGGGTCCATTCCCCTAACCCCCATCCAAGCCGTTGCCAGATCCTGTTGTCACTTCCTAGGCTGCAGGTCTCAGACCGGGTCCTTCCTCTAAAATGGTTCTCTGTGCATTAATAAGCGCTTGACCTTCACAGCCTTCCCCCTCCCCCACCACACTCCCTATCACGTCCTCCCTCTGGGCAGAGAGTGTCTGTTAAAGTCATCCTCTTCCATTTTGAAAACCACATTTCCCTCACCTCCCCTGGCCGGCTCACAGCTCTCGGAAGCCATTCGGAACCTCAACGCAGCGTCCCTGCCCCCTTCCCTGGACAGCATCCTGTTCTTCACCTTGTCTCCCTCCAGCCTCCCATCCAGTCTCTGGCGCTGGTCAAATCAGCTGCGGGGCTTTGTGACCTTGGGCAGCTCCGGGCACCTCTCTGAGCCTCAGTTTTTTTTTTTTCATCTGTGAAACAAGGGCCTTGAGATCGTTGATCATTAAGATCCATCCTCATCTGATATTAATGAGAAAGTGAGTCCTGGAATGTACCTCATTCATTCAAGAAAGCTGTACTGAGTGTCTGCTCCGTGCCAGGCACCCCACTCACAGCGCTCACCGATCTACGCTGGGTATCATCGCCATCGTTTGCGTCAGCAGCTGACTAACCGAGCTCTTGCCATGTGCCAGGCTCTGTGCTACACAGATCCCATGTAGTAACCGAATCATCACAGCCCCATGAAGCAGATAATTTTTTTTTTTTTGGCTGCTCATGTGGGATCTTAGTTCCCTGACCAGGGATCGAACCCATGCCCCCTGCATTGGGAGCGCGGAGTCTTAACCACTGGACCGCCAGGGAAGTCCCGTGAAGCAGATAGTATTATTCTCCCCCTTTCAGAGGTTAGGAGAGGGAGGCTCAGAGAAGGCAAGTGACTGGCCTAGAGTTCGAGAGCCAGTATGTAGTGGAAGGCAGACGTGAACTCTGGAGACAGAGCTCTGAACAGTTGCACTTTGGAGTCAGACAGACCTGGGCTAATTCTAGGCTGTGCCCTTTACGAGCTGGGTGACCTCGGGTGGGCGCCTTAACTTCTCCGAGCCTCAGTGTCCTCAGCCATTGAATGGGGGAAATGATGCTTACTCTGGACTGGACACACTAAACCCCTTTCAAGCAGCATCTCCTTTAATCCTCACAACGAACCCCTGAGTTACAGGTCATTTTTTTCCATTTCACAGATGGGTCTACTGAGACTCAGAGTGGTTAAGTAACTTGCCCAAAGCCACAGAGCAAATCAGATCTGCCTGAATGTAAAGACTGCGCTTTTATGCCATGCAGGCTGCTCTAACAGTTAGAAGAGAGACAGATGCCTCCATCATCTGGTTCCACTCCAGTAGGAAATATGCTCCAGGAGAGCAGGGACACAGTTTTTGTTCACTTCTGAATCCCTGGCACCCAGAACACTGCCTGGCATATAGTAGATGCTCAGTAAGAATCTGTGATGAACGCACCTGGCACAGTGCCTGGCCTACAGCACACAGTCTGTGAGAACCTCCACTCTACCCCATTCCCCTTTCTACCTTCCTTATCCTGAAAAGCTGTGGTCCTCCTGCCTCCTCCAGATCTCCCCTCTCGGGGCAGGCCCGGTGGCATCTTGGGTCACACCTGCGCTCTGCGGATCTCAGCCCGGCCCGCGTGCTTCCGCACCTGCCTGTGGCATCTTCCAGCCTAGTTTCTCCAGGCAGTTCACAGGCAGAGCCTGTCTCTTTCTCTTCTATATAGGGCCAGGTGTCAAGATGTTTCCTTCCCATGATGCTTCCTACCACTCATGCCAGGGGTGTGCAGAACCAACACTTCCCATTGCAGAAGACCCCAGTGTCCACTCGAGGTCAGTGTCCACTGACCTTGCCCAGGTCTTTCCTGACCCCAGGCCCTGGCTGCCACTTGTGATGGAGGATCAGGTAATGACGACAAAATTTATTCAGCACTTAACTATGTGATTATATACACGAACTCATTGACTCTTCTTTGTTTTTTTTTGAACTCACTTACTCTTTACAGCCATTCTTTATGGAAGGTATTATTTTTATTATTCCCATCTTAAAGATAAGAAAACTGAGGTTCAGAGGGGGCAGCAACTTGTCTAAAGTTAAATAAGTCAGAAAATAGCAGAGCAGGGATTCAAACTCAGGCCTGCTGACCCCAGATTCCTAACCTGAACAACTAATATATGTTGATGAGGAGGTCAGGATCTCAGTAGTAGTGGTTGTTGCACTACTGGTAATAATGAACAATACTAATGACAGCGCCCATATATTGATGTGGCCCGGTGCTAAACTTTAATCCTTACAAAACTTCTTAGCTAAGTATATTGTTAATTACTATCATGATTGCCATTTTACAGATGAGGAAATGGCAATGGAAAGAGTAATTTTTAATGAGTAATTTGTCCAGAGTCGTATAGGAGCCAGGATTTGAACTTAGGTCTGGCAGACCCCAAAGCAGGTGCTTTCAGGGACCTCCCTGGTGGTGTAGAGGTTAAGATTCCGCGCTCCATTGCAGCGGGCGTGGGTTTGATCCCCGGTCAGGGAACTAAGATCCCACATGCTGCGCAGTGGAGCCAAAAGCAAACCAAAACAAAGCATATGTGCTTTCAGAAGTGAGCCTGCCCTGCTGCCCTTCTGAGAACCCCCTGCACCTGGTCAGCCCCCAGTGGAGAGTTCTGAATGATAAAAACGGCCTGAAGTGTCATCAGGCTGCGAAGGCTGAAGTGCTACCAGCTCTTCCTGGCTGTGTGGCCTCAGAAACTTCATTTTCTGTCCCTACTGCCCCTAAGCATCCCTACTGCCGGCCTGTTGTAGGTTTGACGTGATACTGAGAACACGTGAAGCCCCCAGGCACACGGACGATGATTTAAGAGACTTTGGGACCCTTGGCCTCAGCTTCCTCATCTGTAAGGGAGTATAAACAGTCTCCCAGCAGGGCTGTAGAAATGAGGTGACTGAGCGCACTCTGGAAACCATGAGGTGCAAAGTTAGGAAGAAGAAAAAGGAGGGTGTGTTCTGGGACCCACCCATGGTCTCAGCATAATCCTTGAAGTTACCCATGTCTTCAGGATGGGGTCCAAGATGGGCCATTTCACTGAGACCAGTGTTAAATGAGGCTTGTCTCTCTTTTTAAAACAGTATCTTAACAAGCCTTGATAGCGTGCCCGCCGTATGCCAAGTGCTTTACAAATTATTCATGCACTTGACACTTACAAAATCCCTAGAAGGTGCGTGCTATGGCTGCCTCCATTTTACAGATGGAAAAACTGAGGCTCAGGGAGGTTAAAAAATGCCACACACTTGTAAGTGGCAAAGTCCTTAGCACAGCGCCTGACGCACAGTGTGCCTGCTAAGTGCTAGTGGGCTATTATTATCATTACTTATGCCATAATAATAACACACAACATATTTTCCCAACATACTGTACACTTTACTTCTTGTCTCTCCCCGCCACTAGAATGCTCTCTGCGAAGGCAGGAGTTCGTCTGTTTTGTTCGCTGCCCTTTGCTCAGCACCAAGAATATTCTGGGTGCTCGACAAATGTTAAATTATTATTGCTATTGTTGTGTTATAATTATCAGCATCAAATCCACCTGTTAGGCCTCATCCTGGGACGGGGAGGAGGAAGTACCTTCCAGGTTGGTGTGGGGAGAGGGGAGGGTTTGGATATCCAGAGGCTGTGTAGCCGAGGGAGAATTTTCTCCCAGAGTGGCTTGGAGGGTGTGTTATTGCTTCCTGGGGAAATAGAATGGGAGGATTTGACTGTCAAACAGTCAGCATGACGACGATAATAACCAATATTTAGATCAATAATAATACCAATAAATAGCAATTACTGTTATTCCTTCCATTTTCAGAGCATCCGTTTTCCAGCTGCTTAACAGCTCTTTATCCTTTTTTTTCCTTCACCCGTTGGTTGCACTGAGACAACAGATCTGGGGGATAGGTTTGGGGAACGGAATCTAGAAAGGGTAGGGTTTCCCCTTGTCCCACGACCCAGTGAGGTGGAGAGAGGTGGAACCTTCTATGGGATACCGGTTGCAGTGGCTCCGCCCTCTTGCTTACCTCCCCGTGTTGCGGGAGGGCATGGGGGTGGGTGAGAAGAGCCGCCACGAAGCCCTCTGGGCTGGGCTGCCTGGGGAAAGGCAGAGTCCCCGGAAGGCAAACAAGGGGGAAAGGAGGGATCACAGAAAGAGACACACACATACACCCAGACAGACATGGGGGTGTGTGTGTGGAGTGGGCGTGTGAAGGGAGACAGACAGAAGAGGCAGAGGGAGACAGATGGGGGAGGCAAGTTAGTGAGCGAGACAGATAGGGACAGAAAGGGAGAGACAGACAGACAGAGGCAGTCAGATGGGGGGTGGGGTATTAGTGACAGAGAAAGATGCAGGAGACAAAATAAAGAAAAGCCCCTGGAGAAAGTGGGAGGGACAGAAACCTAGGAAAGGGACAGAGAAATAGAGAGAGGTGCTGAGACAGAGGCGGGAAGGGTGAGCAGGGACAGAGGGGCCGAGAGGCCCCAGGGAGAGAGGGAAGCAGAAGAGGGCTATGTGTGTCTCTGTGTGTGTGTGTGTGTGTGCGCGCGCGCGCGCCGGGCTAGGGCCGGCTCACCTGTAGGTGGAGCAGGCTGTTTTCCTGGAGGTAGAGGTACTGCAGGCTGACCAGGCCGCGGAAGATGTTGCCCGGCAGGCTGCTGAGCTGACAGCGGTACAGATGTAGCGACTGCAGCCGCTCCAGGCCCTGGAAGGTGTCGGGCTCCAGAGAGCGCAGGTGCCGGTTGTCGCCGAGGTCCAGCTCCTCGAGCGCCTGCAGGTGGCGGAAGGTGCCCGGATAGATGGCGGAGAGGTTGTTGGAGAAGAGCCACAGAGTGAGCAGGTTAGGCCCGAAGGTGCCGGGCCGCAGCGTGCGGATGAGGTTGTTCTGCAGGAATAGGCGCTGCGTGCTGGGCGGCAGGGACAGCGGCACCGACGAGAAGTTGTTGGCCTGGCAGCTCACGGTGGGCGGGGACGAGTAGCAGGTACAGAGCATGGGGCAGCTGGGGGCAGCTGGGGGCAGGGCCAGGAGCATCAGCAGGAGGCAGGCCGGGGCGGGACCTGCGGGGAGGGCGCGGGGGAGATCTCTCTGGGCGGCTGCGAGCGTGGGAGTGCCAGCCAGGGGCCGGGCCCACCCACCCCTAAGGCGACCCTTGCTGAGAGCCTTTCGTTTCTAGCTTGGGTGGGGGGTTCTGGGTGCAACCTCAGAGTCGCGAGAGGCCGTGGCCACTTCCGCTTTTGGAGGCTCCTGGTACATTAAAGAATAAAGAAATGCCAAGAGGACATCGTAGGAAGCACTGTGATAGGTTGAAAGTTGTTTGATGAGTGACGTCTACTTTCATTCCTGTTTTCACTATGGTAGGTTTGACCATGACTTTGGTCTTGAGACTTGGGCTGGACAGTGCTTTGTTGGAGGCAGTCCCGTACAACGATGTCCTATATAGGGGTGTTTAGCAGCACCCCTGTCCTCTACCCATTAGATGTGTAACACCCTTCCCCCTGCCGTTATGATAACCTATGACAACCAAAATGTCTCCAGACGTCGCCAAGTATCACCTGGGGAGCAAAATTGACTCCATTTGAGAACAGGTGGCTCTAAATTGAGACCCTCTGCGAATCTGAGGCCCATGTAAAATGGCCCTGTGGCTGCCTCCGGGGTCTGGTCTTGCTGGCCCACAGGTGAGCACAGCCCTCCTCCCTCATCTCTCCACACTGGAAGGGATCTTAGGAACCAAGGGACAGGGAGTCTCCAGGCACCTGCAGCAGAAGCATCAGAGGGTCCTGGAAAGAATGCTGCTTCCTGGGCCCTGCCTGTGCAGAATCAGCATCCCTGGGGGAATAGCCCAGGAATCTGCATTTTACACCCCAGGCCCTTCTCATTCAAAGTCACTTAAAAATTCTTTTTCAGGACTTCCTTGGCAGTCCAGTGGTTAAGACTCTGCGCTTCCGCTGCAGGGGGCACTGGTTCGATCCCTGGGGAACTATGATCCCACTTGGTGCGGCCAAAACATAACAATAATTTTTTTTCAAACTAACTTTTGAAGGTGGGCCGTGATCCAGCCTTCTTGTGATATAGATGGAGAGGCAGGCCCAGGGAGGCCCAAGGGCCTGGGGGCTAAAGAGCCGTGTCTAGGCCTCCATATCCCTGAGCTATAGCAGGGGCTCTGGGGCCCCTCATCCATCCCTGTTCCCTGGCCTTCTGACCCTCAGGGCAGCTGATGCAGGTTCTGGGCTGGAACTAGCTTGACCTCTGCCCTTTATCATGACTTCCGGATGAGTCTCGGGACTTTCATCTGGCGGGTTTCGCGCTCCAAAAGCCAGGCGGTCATTCTCTGGGCACACATGGAATGAGCACCTTCTGCTCCAAACAGTGTGCTACGGCCTGCGAAGGCAGAGGAAGACCTTTGCCCTTGGATCCGGGGACCTGAGATCCTGGGTCCTCAGGGCAGACCCTGAGGGCTCCGTGACTTTCACTGACGCCCGGTGTCAGAGGTTGCTGTGTGTGAATGCGCGTGGGAGACGGGTGCCCTCTACATGAAGTGCTGCTGAGCCCGGGGTGCGCACATGGCACCGACAGGCCCCGCGTGTGGCGCGGACATCACGGAAGCTGGGCTGTGCCTCCTCCCGCGGGGGAGCGCAAAGGCGCAGGGTGGGGACCCCGGCGCCACGCCACCCGGCCCACGGCGAGCGTCCCGGCCTCTCCCCGCGCAGCTGCGCGCAAGCGTGTGCCGGTGGTCCTCCGCGTGTGTGTGAGTGCCGGGCCCCGTGCGTGTGTAGGCTGGGTGTGATGTAATACTCGGTGACACAGCGGCTGCTGTTCCCTTCGTTCACACCACCTCCGCGTTTCTCGGCCCTTCTCACCCCTCCCCCGTGCGGCGTTTCACGATTACTTTCTCCTCCCGAGTTTTTCCACATTGGGTGGAAGAGCATGTCTCTCACCCCTCAACCCAACCAGGCAGGGGCGGGGTGCGAGAGCCCTGTAGGGAGCCCTGGGTGGGTTTCAGGAGGGCTGAGGTTTGAGGCTTAGAACAGGAGATCTTGGAGGTGGAAAATCCTCCGGGTTCAAGCTCTGGTTCTACTGAGGTGATGGCTGGGGCTCAGAGAGGGAAAGTGACTTGCCCAAGGTCACACAGCAACGTGATTGGCAGGGCAAGGACTAGAAAGGAGTCTCCTGATGACTGGCCAGAGCACTTCCCTTCCTGGTGGAGTCACCCTCTGAGCTCGCTTCCCCAAGGACTTGACACCAGGGAAAGCCAAATCCCTCTCTGATCCCTTAATCCCACCCCTTATCCACAAGCTCACAGGGTGTTCATTCAGAAGGCTGCCAGCCCTGCAAGGATTATGGAGCTCTTTCCTCAGCCTCTAGGGCCAACTGTTAACCCAGGAGAGGCAGAGGGAAGGACACGTGATCCCAGAGGGCTCCGGAGTCAGGAGGCAGTCCCCTGGCACCAGGGTCTCTTCCAGCCTGGAGGCCGAGCTCAGCAGGGGCTGGCAGGGGCCCCACTCATTCCTCTAGCCCACAATTCCCTGGCCCCCTGCTTGCCCTCTTTAGGGGGCTTCTCTCTTATTTCCCCACAGCCCCTCCCTCTTGCCCCCCATATCTCCCCCCATCATGGCCCACCTCCCCAAGGCCAAGATGGCGCTCCCTGCGGGCTCTTTGAGGGGGGGACCCTGAGCAGGGGGCCCCTCCGTGACAGCTGCTGCGTAACAGTGACTCTGTTGCCATTTCTGGTCCTCGCTGCTGCCAAAGCAAAGCAGCTGTAACCCGAGGAGCCTCATCCATAATTCAGGCTGCGGCTCGCACTGGAAGCGAGCGGAGGAGGGGCAGGTGGGGCTCCGGAGGGCTCTGCCCCCGGGCCTGGCTGGAGTGCTCCTGGGCAGAGGCAGCAGGGCCCGGTGAGCTGTGCCTTTCTCTCCCTCCTCCGCCCTCAGCCCCTGCCCAGCCTGTGCCCTTTTCCTTCCCACCACCGTCGCCTCCCCACCCCCTGCTCCTCCTGGCTCTTCACCATCACGCCTTCCCCCCAGGCCCGGGTCTTCCCTCTCTCCCCGAGGACCACGGTTCCACTCCCGGCCCCCATTTTGTGAATCCCTGGCAAAGACGGGGTCCAGATGCACAGAGTGTCAGAGCAGGAAGGTGGGGGACACCTCATCGGCCATCAAGAGCAAACCCCTTATTGCACAGGCCACACCACTGAGAACTGGAGAGGGGAAGAGTTCATTTCGCAGGGCGCAGCCCAGGCCCTGACCGAATCTCTGTCAATCCACCTTGGGTTATCTTTCTCGAAGGCTTCATTTTATGCCCCCTCTACTATCTGGGCCGATTCTAACAGCCTCCCCACCCTCTCTGCTCATTCCATCCATCCTCTTTTTTTTTTCCTCAAGTCAGCAAGTGATGGCTAGAGTTGCAGGGGAGCATAGAGCGAGGATGGGCAGAAACCATCTGTTATTAAACACCTACTGTGTGCCAGCCACTGTATTTGTACATATGCCTTTATGCGTAGAATACAACATAACATAGCCCCAGTGAGATCAATCTTACGGCTCCCAATCTGCAGATGAAGGCAGGGAGGTTCACAAACATGAAATGAGTTGCCTCAGGTCATGCAGCTAGTACAAGGTGGAACCCGGATTGGACAAGTGCATGTCAAAAGGGACTCTCTGACCTTTCTTTGGGAGACCCCATGTCATCCACAGACACCACCCCCGAATGTGAGAGTTACTGCGCTCGGGGTGGGGTAAAGGGAGGACAGAAATTGCACCCAGGTGCACAGGGCTGGGCCAGCAACGACACCGGCTCTGTTTGGCTATTCAGGGTCAAGGCAAGGTAAAGGACCCAGGTTCTCTCCAACTTTCCCCTCCTGGGCTCCAGGCTGTGGTTGTTCTAGGGGATGGCCCACCTGGGAGTCAGGAAGAGATGACCAGTGTCCAGAAGATGTGGCCAGAACTGACCAGGGGAGGGAACGGAGAGAGGCCAGAACATGGTATTGATCCCAGAAGACTGAGGTGCCCAGAGCCAAAAAGTATCCGCTCACTGAGGGCCCACTGTCAAGGACTCTGGGCTGTCACCCTGGAGCACCAAGGCTCACAAAGTTCTCAGCCCGGGAACCACCATTAAGTCCAGAGATCCCTGTGAAAGAAGAAACTTGAGAAGGAAGCAGATGGACCCGGTGTAGAGGCAGGAAACAGGGTGCCAACCCTCAGGGCAGAGTGGCCCCAGGAAAAGTGCTCCCTGGAAAGAGAGTCAAGGCCTCTGGTTTTGAAGGAGGGGCACAGGGTCCCAGACAAGAAGCAACAGCTCCACACCCAAAAGGGCTGGGCCTGCCGGGCAGATGCTGAGGTGGAAGGGGCTTGAGGAGGTGGGAGCCGCGGAACAGAACGGAGGTGGTGATGATACCAGTGACGCAGGGGCCTGGGGAGGCACTGACGCGGGTGATGGAGGTTTAGAGCTGCTGCAAACAGCTTCTCACTCTGCCAGAATGTAACACCCCAAAATAAGCAGCCACCGTGGCGGCGGCGGCAGGATCCCACGACGGGGCCCAGAGATATAAATGGCAGCACGGAGCCAGCCAGGGCGCCCACCCTCGGAGGCTGCCACCCCACTTGAACGTCTTCCCCCTCTCCCCTCACAGCCGCCCACAAGGCCCTGAGCTCAGAGCCCAGGGTCTGGCCCACTGGCCACTCCCTGAAAGAAGGGAAGTGACAGGCAGGCGCTTTGGAAATGGAGGGCTTCCCACGTGGAAGTGGTTACCAGAAGTCTCTTTGTCTCATCCCTAGGCCGCCCCCCCCAGTCTCTCTCTCTCTCTCTCTCCCTCTCCCCTTTCTCTTCCTTCCTCCTTTCCTCCCTTTCCAGCCCCCATCCCCATCCTGATCAACCCCAGGCCCTCTCCTATCTCTGGTTTCCCATCCCCAACCCTAGAGCTCATCCCAGTCGTCTTTCCCTGTTCCTGACACCCCATCTCTGTCCACCATCCCCATCCTCCTCTGGTTTCTGGCTTTCTGATCTCACTCCCCGTTCCTTCCCCATCCCTAGGGTCCCAGCCCTCATTCTCTTTCCTATTTCTCCCACCGCCAGGTTCTGGGTCCCTGGCCCTGGTCTTCTCCCCACCCCTCCCCTAATCTGGTCTCCCCTCTCTTTCCCTCTTCCTGTGTGCTCGCCAGGGTCTCACTTCCCTCCAAGCTTTTCCCGTCTAACCTTTATTCCTCCTCCTCCCCCGCCTTCCTATCGCCCTCCCCTGACCGCTCTCTCCATCTTCCGCTCTCTTCCTTCTTACCCCTTCCCCACCCCACCCCCAATCTCTGGCCCACACCCTTGTCTGTCCGTCACTCAGTTCGTGGAACTATCCCTTTTCTAGCGCCCTCCATCTGTCCTACCGCGGAGGGCCATTTGGATCTCCCTCTGCTCCCCCATCCTCCCGGACAGCCCCCTACCCTCATCCCTCGTCCTCCCTGGTGACTGGAAAGTGCTGAGGCACGGGGCACGAGAAGTTGCTGAGTCGGCGCTTCCCCAGCCGGCCCGAGTCCTCGGCGTCCCCCAGAGCAGGTGGAGCCGGGACAGCAGAACCTGAGCCTCCCTCCCCACCCCCCGGGGCCGGTCCGCCTGCCCCCTGCGTACCCCCTCGGTCACGAGTTCCCCGCACAGCCCAGCAGGCTCCGAGTCGGGTGCGCGGCTCCTGCCGGCAGCTCTGGGGGCGGGGGCGGGGCCCGGGGCTAAGCGTTTTTCCTCCCAGGCTACCCCCACCCCCACTACTGCCCCACCCTCGCGCCCTGGCGGAGGGGGCGCCCCGCTTGCCTCGGCAGGATGCACTCTGCCTTCCCGCAGGCTGGGGTCCCTACCTTGCAGCAGGCTCCTGAGCCCGGGCAGCATCTTGTCTCGACGCTCGGGGGAGGGGGCGGCGGGGAGGGAGGGCGCTCCCACTCGCTCCCTGAGCCGGCCAGACGGACGGCGGGGACTCCGCGGGGCTCCGGGAGGGCCCGGGAGTCCCCGGGCTGTGTGGCCGGGCCGCGGCGCTCTACCCTGCGCCACCTGGGCTGCGAACCTCGTGAGGAGCCATCGGCCCCGACGGGACGGGGTGGGGCGCGGCGGGACGGGGTTCGAGCTGGCCGTCGATGCCCGGTGCCCGCGCCCCCCAGCACCGCAGGCAGCGCGCGGTGTCCGTCAGTCCGTCGGTCCGTGCGCGCCGGCTGCTCGCCGAGGGAGAGTGGGGACAGCGAGGATGCTCTTCCCAGCCACCCCCCTCCTTCACGCACTCGCTGGCTCCTCCCTCGCTTCCTAGCTTTGCCGATTTAACCGCTTCCTGGCCACTAGGAGGCGGGAGCCGCTTTCTAGCCCCCTCCATCCAGGCCCCCTCTCTTTCTTGGGGGATCCGGAGGACTGTGTTCGATCGCCTTCACGGCGCCACGCTTCTAGAGAAATCCCTTCCGGGGGGGGTGGTGTGTGGTAGTGTAAGGGAACCCCGTGGACTTGCCCAGTTCCCCCCTCCCAACTTTCTGGGAGGAGCCGGGCTCCTGGGTCACCTCCTCCTCCTTGCCGGACCCCAGGCCCCTTTGCCCAGGTCTCCAACGTTCCTCTCCTCTGGGAGACCTCCAAGATTCCACTTTCCCTTTCGTTCCCAGACCCCAAGCCCTGAGTGGGTGCGACTATAAGAATAGTATATGCAAGAGTTTGTGGGTGCGAGATCGATTGCATATGAGCGTGCACGCGCGCGCAGGGACGCTTGTGCAGGTGTGACTGAGTGCTTGCACGTTATCTTTTATACGGGCCGGGGGAAGCAGGGGCTCGTGAGTGTGCGAATGGATGAGCCGCTGTCAGCCAGCGCGCGTGTCTGCGCGGATGGGAAACGTGTGAGGGTTTGGCGCAAGCAAACTTGGGGCTGGGTGGCCGGGGTATGTGTACAGTGGTGTGTGTGTGCCCCTTAACGCATCTGCAAGCGGGTGCAAGTTTGGGTGCCCGTGAGCGGGATAGAAGACTCCAAGGTGGGAGGAGAGCGTTGGCTTCACGGGAGCTTCTTCTGCTTCCTTTTAAAGAGGGAGGCATTCTGGTCTCTTCGGGACCCCTTGCGCCCCTCGTGGCCTCGTTCAGGGCGATACCTGCAGGCCCGCGACCTAAGCGTCTCCTTAAAAAGGGGAAGATGCGGATCACCCTGGCCTTGACCTGGTCCAGGGCGTCGGGCATCCGGACCTTGGGAGCCGCCCCGGCGCGGGACAGTCGCGGACCCTCGGGGTAGCCGCTTCGGGGACAGTGGCCAAGCGGCGCAGGCCGGGTTGGGGCTGCTGGAGCGGCGCCGACGGCCAGAGCCAGGGAAATCTGCGCGAAGCCGGCCCGAGGAAGCGCGGGAGTCCCGGGCGGCCGCTCCCGCGAGCAAAGAAAAAGAACCCCCTCGCTCCTCCACCTGGCTCTCTGGCTCCTTCTCTCCCGTCGGTGCCAGGGCCCAACGCAGCGCCTGGCATACAGTCGGCGCTTTATAAATGCTGATCTCATTTTCCCATTCATTTTCTGTTCCATCCATAATCTCATTCTTCCCTCGTTCTCGTTCGATTTCTCTCATTTTCTCCTCCCTCTCTTATTCATATTTTATGGTCTCCGTCTCTCTGTTCCCTCCCTCCCCTCCTTACTCTCTCCCTGCCACTTCCTTCCTTTATGATTTATCTCTTTGTGTCACTGTCTTCTCTGTCTCTCTCGCTCTGTCCGTGTCTCTGTCGCTTCCCTTCTGCCCTTGTGCCTCCTTCCCTCCCTGTCTCTCCATCTCTGGGTCGGATGTCTGTCTCTTCTCTCCCTTTCCACCGGGTTTCAGTAGCGGGCTCCCAGCCCTCTTGCACCTCGACGCTCGGGCGCCCCCTGCTGGTTACATCCTCTGCCCTTCTCGGGCTCCCAGGCCCTCCCAGCAACTAAATTTCCTCTTCCGGCCCGTCTTACGTTCGGGTGAGGTGGGAGTGAAAAGGGGCGTCTCTGGGGCTCCCCTGTCCCTCTCCCATCTCTAGAAAGCAGGGGCCCTGCGTTTCCCGGGACCCACCCTGCCGAGGGCCCGCGCCTGGGAGGAAGGCCTGGAGGGGGCGGTGGGGAGGGAGTGTTGGGGGTAGTAGGGTGGGATTTGGCGTCCTTCCCCGGAATGAGCCGCGGCACAATCTGTCGCTGGGTTTGTTTGCCGAGCTGCCTCCGGAGCGCAGTGGGGCTGGCTCCCGGGGAGCGAAATATCACAAGATGCGGAGACAGACGCTGAGGGGCGGGTGGGCGGCGGGCTGACTCAGGTGTGTGCTGTCATCCGTTCCCTGGGCTGGCGCTCTTCTGGGTGGGGGGGGCTGGGACCCCAGGCCCCCAACACAGGTGGGGACCCGAAGCTGGGAGGGGAGCCCCCACCCCGGGGTGAGCTGCAGGAAAGGGGGCGTCCCCGCCAACGATCCTTGGCTCCAGTCCTGTCCTTCAGCCCTGGGAGCCCCAAGAGACGCCCCGAACTTGGGTGTGCTCCAGACGGTCAAACATTCCCCTGCTTATACCCCGCTGTACAGGCGTCGGTTTCCTCTGGTTATCTGCTGACTCACTACTTTCCCCTACTAGACTGACAGCTTCTTGAGGGCAGGAAATTCCTCTCATCCATCTTTGTGTCCCCAGCATGTGCTCAATGAACACTGTTGGATGGATGAATGGCGCGTGGGTGGATGGCCCAGGGTCTCAGTTTACAGGAAATACCACAATGCATTTGATATTCCCAGTAGAGCATCCTGACCCCTTGTTCCTCCTCTCCCTATCCACATTTGCAGTCCCCCCAACCCCCATCCCCTCCTTCAGACAGGCAGGGAATCGGAAACAGCTCTCCCCGAAGACCAGAGTCCTCTAGGTGACCCGAAGCGAGTTACTTCCTTTCCTGTTTGCCTCAAGTTTCCTCATCTGTACAATGGAATGTACCACTCACGCATAAGCTTCCGCTTACCCAGTAAATCTCCAGCCAGTCGGGGTATGAGAAAATGCTTCATAAAATGAGGTTCTAACCAGTGTCTGGAGTGGCAGCTGTTGTCATTACCGTTTTGCTGGTGATTCTTAAGATCTTTATCTCAGTAGAATCAGACACCACGTCTGATCGAACTGAACTTCTGCAGTTGGACTTTTTGAGATCTAAGGGAGTAAACTGATGTACCCGAGGCAAAGTGTAACCGAGAGCTGTGCCGCAGGGCATCTAGGTCCATTCCTGGCTGGACACTTGGGGGAGGGGGCTGGTGGGCAGCTTACTGTGTCCTCAGGACTTGCCGCAGAGCTGGCCCACCCTCTGGTGGCTGTAGGTGGACCTGCAGTCCCAAGGGAAGCTGAGGATCTCAGGGAAATGGGCTGATGGATGGATTTTCCCTGAGAAGGCGGATTCGTTGTGTGGAGAACTGTGAGCTTGGAAAGGAGGTCATGTCGAAGAAGCAGGACATTGACACAAACTAGATGAGTGTTGACTTCATCTACCAGTTCCCGCTTATTAATAGCACCCCTACCCTCAGTGTGACGCCTGGGGCCGCTCTTCCTTCTTGGGGGCCGCTTTAGTGAGTCCGCAGAACTTCCCTGGTTCTTTTCTGCACCTACGTGGCAACTTCACCGCAGGACACTTGGCAGTTGGCGTACAAGATGGGGTGGCTCGATGGTCAAGAGCAGAGGCATTGCTGGGTTCACGCCCTGCCTCTGCTGCTCTCATAGCTGGATGACCTTGGGCAAGGTGTTGAAGTTTTCTAAGCTTCAGTTTTCTCATCCAGAAAACGAGGCGGGGGTCGGGGGGCAACAGTAGCTCCCAGCTCCTCAGGTTGTTTAAGGATGAAATGAAATAAAGCATGAAAGAACCTGACAGAGCCTGACCTTGTGCTCCATAAATGCTAATAATATTCATATTAGTTTTCTTGTTTAGCCTAACAGCAACCTGAGGAAATAGATGTTGCAGTTTAGGGGCAGAAAGTAAAGTTATGGCCTGAGGTCTCAGAAGTCCTAAGTGGCAGAGCTGGGTCCGGGAGTCGGTTCTGAGTTAGAACTTCCCACCCTGTGTGTGTGTCTGACCTCCACATCTCCACCTGCCACAGACCAGGGATGTCTGCCCAGTGTGATGAAAGCAATCCAGACCTGAAAGTTAGAAGTCTTGGGTTCTAGCCTGGACTCTGCCTCCGAATGGCTGTGTAATGTGGGAACGACCTCTCTCCTCTCTGGGCTCCCCAGTATCAAAAGGTACCTCTTGGACCCCAAACTCCTGAAGTCTCAAAAAGCCATGACTCGGTGACATCCTTCTTTCTGTGTGACTCTGGAATCAGAAGCTACAGTGAAGCCTCTCGGCCATGCTGTTCCCAACTTCCCAGCTCTGGGGTTGTGATGTGGGCCCCAGAGGAAGATCAGAATTTCTAGGGATTCCCCCAGACCCCACTCTGGGTCCCTCAGGACTCCCACTGGCCACCAGGCCTGCCCCTGAACCTGTCGGAGTGATCGTATACTACGGAGGAAGGGGAAGAAGCTGGGCCTGCACTTGCCTCCCAGAACCCTTGCCTGTGAGTTCCACATCCTATTCTGCCTGGCCTGGTGGGGACAGGGTTCCTTTTCGGGTCCTCTCTTAAACAGGAGAGAAAACCTAAACTAGATGCGTTTAAAGGGCAGCGGTGTCAGGATGTACTTTCTCCTTCCCTGCTTGGTTTCTCGAGTTTCTGTCCCTCTGCATTATTTATAATGATACCTGACCTTTGCTAACTACTCACGTCATGTCATGAAGGTATGTGTACTGGCTCCTTTAACATTCAGCGCGGCTCTGTGGGACGGAAGGTCTACTACTATCCCCTTTTTACAGGTGGAGGTACAAACTCAGAGCGGTAGAAGTGCTTTTAGATCCGGGCGAGAAGGGCCTTGCCCCGGGTCCCATGATTTAGAGGGTTTTGCTCTGGTCCTCCTCCAGCCAGCGTCCTTCCGTGGGGGAAAAAGGCCTTGAGACCAAAGGGACACGTCCTCTGAGAGCCTGAATTCCCCTTTTATTTTTTATTATTTATTTATTTATTTGGCCGCGCCGTGCCGCTTGCGGGATCTCAGTTCCCCGACCAGGGATTGAACCTGGGCCATGGCAGGCAAGCCCGGGATCCTAACCACTAGGCCACCAGGGAATTCCCTGCATTCCCCCTTCGAGGCCACGCTTTGGGTATCCAGAACCCTGGAATCTCTTGCTCAAATGGCCCAGGTCTACTTCTAGCACCTGTGTAGGCATCATCTCCCCTCTACCTTTGTGCCAGTATGTGTGCCCCTAGGGTGGCTGAGGGGCAGCTGTTTGGAGGAGGTGTGGGTGGAGCTTGGACATGTGGGTGCGATATTCCCGTGCACGTCCACGAGGCCCCTGGTTTGCGGTGGAGCTGGGTTTGGGAAGAGAAGAGGAGGTGGCTGGATTTCTGTACAGCACTCCGAGGAGTTGGATCATTTGGAATTTGAACCTAGCCTTCCAATGTTGAGTCCCTTTGAAGAACACAAAAGAGCAAAGCTCTGTGCTGGAGGCTGGGGTACCTTGTGGGCACGGGTGGCCCGGCGTGGACTGGTGGGGCGAGCAGGAACCTCTCAACCTAGGGTCCCAGAGCCTCTGTTTGCATCCCGCCCTGCCCCTGCAAATATTAAGGGCAGCTGGACCGAGAAGTCACATGGCTTCATCAGAGGGGGGGTAGGGCGAGGAAGCTGTGGAGGCAGGTTCTGAATCCAGGTCTGCGTGACCCTCTCTTTCTTTCATGAGGCTCCATGCCAGTCTTGACCATAAGTCAGAATTTTGGCGCCCTGGAGGCCTCTTGGTTAGAAAGTGAGGCCCCGTTGTGTCTGCTGGAGTGCCCTTCCCGGTGCAGAGAGCCTCCCTTTCTCGCGAGACCATGAATTCACTGAGTGCAGGGTCCATATCTTTTTTGACTTTGCTTTATTTCGTGTGCCTGGTACAGCCCGGTCCAGAGTAGGCACTCAGCACAAGTGTGGCTGACCTATTGGACCCACCGACTAGTGGGAAGATGCTAATCAGACTATCTTGGTGCAAGGTGCTGCTGGTCACGCTGGTATCCAGCAGTGCGTGAAGAGTCTGGGGTCGGGGGTGGGGTGGACTGGGAGCCTGGGATCGACATATATACACGACTATGTATAACATAGATAACTACTGAGGACAGACTATATAGCACAGAGAACTCTATCAATGCTCTGTGGTGACCTAAATG